TCTTGTTTTTTAACTAAAGTTTATTTTTTTGGTTTTTACAGAAGTTTCATTGCCTTTGACCAAAATGCCCTAAAATCGGAGAAGCGAGAACTGGGGTTCTGACTTATATTTTGGGTTTTTATAAATGTGTATGATTTTTTTACTCTGATAATATGAAAAAGGACTTGTTCTTTGGCTAAAGTTAATTTTTATTATTTTACAGAGCCTTAATTGTTCCCGGCCCAATTGCCTCGATTCGGGGAATTAGACCTAAACTTTTTTTACATATTATCTTGATAATTATAAATGTAATGAATTTGAAAAAGTTCTTTTTCTTTAACTAAATTTAATTTTTAAGATTTTAACAGAGCTTTTTGTACTAATTGCCCAATTTTCCAAAAAATGGGAAAACGGGCTCTGTGTATTTTTATAAATTTACCTAATATTTATAAATATAAATGAGTTTGTTTATTTTGACAATTTGAAAAAGTCCTTTTTTTCAACTAAAATTAATTTTTATTGTTTTTACAGAGCTTTGATTGTTTTTGGCCCAATTGCCCTTAATGTGGGAAATAAGCCCTAAGATTTCCTATTTTCTTGATATTTATAAATGTAACTGAGTTTTTTCACTCTGAAAGTTTAAAAAAGCTCCTTTTTTTTGATGGGGCAAACGAGCAGTGGGATCCTTACCTAATATGAGAATAAAAATTTATCAAATTCATTGATTTGATTCTTTATTAAAAAAAAAAAACAATAAAAATAATTTAGCATAAGAACTTTAATGAAACTTTTTCTTATTGATGACATTTGAAAAATTAATTTATTAATTTAAAATTAATTTGGTGCCATAAACTCTTAGGAAAATTCAACAAATCTTGACGCAAAATAGGCTTTATTAAGCCCCACATAAATTGTAATAACTTGGGAACCAGTTATCCAAACTTAAAAAACGAACTCATTTTGAAAACATCTTTATTATCAGCGTACTTTGGTTTAATTATAGCCAAAGATAATGAAAATAGTAAAATCATGAGAAGTGTCTAAGATAATTATACGTTCTTAACGATAATTATACGTTCGTAGAAAGTATAAGTTAGGTTGTTTTAATGCGGCTTATACAAACTTTAAAATTGGATTTTCTCTTTCACATGGTGTAACCAAATTTTAAGATTTATATCTCAGTGACTACTAATAGTAGTTCTATCATCGCACCAAAGAATTTCCTGGGGTTATGAAATTGACTGCTATTTCATTTTTTTACTACAGTGCAGTTCCCATGCCTTTTGTTTTGAGGCGCTTAAATCGATTTTTCACAAACTTATAATCTAGCTTGCGATTTGTGATATATTAGTATACGTTTGTAGCCGTTGAAATAACAAGAGTCAGAAATTAAAATTATTGAGCAAAACTAAACTAAAGAAAAATAACACACTATACTAAATCACAACGTTAAGTCACTAATTTTGGTTAATCTAAATTTAACTTTTTTGTTTGTTTAGTTTTGACAATCGATCTTTAATCCACGAAAATAAGTATTCATTATTCGCTTTAAAACCCTCTCTACATCCTGAATAAAAAAATTTACTCCTACAATATAGTAATGGAAAGAGATTTTGAGGAAGATCTAAGTTAAGATCTAAGTTAAAATCGACTAAGTTAATTTGACATTAAAATAAATTAAAGACAATATGAATTTTTAAAATTGTTATTTTGTTAACTTTTCAGAAGAAATATTTCAAATAACTTTAAACAATAAAATTTGCTTAACTTTTAAGCTGTTTAAATGTGTTTTTTTTTTTTTAGAAAATTTTCCCACAAAAAACTTTGAGAAAGAACTTCAATAACAAAGTTGTTATTAAAAAATCTTAACCTTTATTTTTATTCGGCGTGTACTTTCACAGACTGATTTTTGTAGAGAATGTAGATTTATATTAGGGTTTGGTAAAAATTAAATCTATTTGAAAATTCCTCCTGTTACACCTTTTCAATTTGATTTATGTAATAAGTTAAGACTGAATTAAAAAAATGAGCAGCTGTGGCGCAGTGGGTAGCGTGCTTGCCTCAAAAACTTTAGATTCGTGGTTCAATACCACCTCTGGGTAAGTTTCATAACATCGGTAAGGAAGGAGACGTGAACTTATTTTCAAATGCTCTTCCGCGATGCTATATGATAAGACCATAAGAACTTTTTCAGGCACTTAAAATAAAATTTAAAAAAAAAAATTAATTAAAAACATTTATACGGATCCAACCAATCTTTAAAATGTAATGGGTCTTTAATATTATCCGAAAAATTTTTTATATAAATATTATTTTAGAACTTAGGGGCTGTCCATTAATTACGTCAACAATTTTTTGGCAGATTTTACTTCTCCCTTCCCCTTATTAAGGTGAGTTTCCACTCATCCGTTTTTCTACGGGAAAGGGAAAGGGAACGGAAAAATAATCACGCATGCTCACGTAATTATTTTTTCCTTTCCTATCTCGTTCCCGTAGAAAAACGGAAGAGTGGAAACTCGCCTTTAACAACTTGTCAAACTTTCAGTGACCCCCCTACAAAACTACGTCAACACTCGACCCCCCCCCCCCCAAAAAAAAAAAAAAAAAAAAATTAAGATGGAAAAAAAAATGTTTTAAATTAACTTGTTTACAACTGAAACAAAAAAAGTGGTTCAAAGTAAAATGTTTAGAAAAAAAAATGTATTCAAATTTTAACTTATAAACATATTTCAAATGAATTTATATTTATTTAAAATTACAAATGCTTGCTCTGAACAAAAGTGAATTAAAGTAAAAGGTAAAGAAAAAAAAAAAAATAAACTTTTAACTTATAAACATAATTCTAGTTTAAAAATGCAAAGAATTACTCTTAAGAAAAAAAAGATTAAAGGGTTCACAAAAATATTTACACGTTTAAATTATAATCATATTTCAAATTAATCAAATTCTCCTTACTTTAACATCAGACCTAATACAAATTTACAGTGAAAGCCAATTATTTTTAATAGAGTCTAGAATAACTAAAAAAGCATTTAAGAAATTGTATCAACCAGGGATTGGCAATCTTTTGAGACGGAAAAGCCAAAAGTTACAATATAAAAAGTTTTTAAATTTTTAAAGACCAACATCTTTATTTTAACATTATTTTTAGGAATGCGGATTCCCGAAAAGGATTCCGGATTTGAATGTCACAAAAAGAATACTTCTTCTTAGTTTTTGGTATCCAGGAGCTCTGATAATATAAAAACGCTTATTTATTTTATTTGACGTTTAATATTATTTACATCAAGATTTATAATATTATACGGACAGGACTTCAAGAAGATCGTAATGATCTTCTTTAAGTCCTGTCCGTATCATCACAAAGATGGATAACTATTGGTAATTATGGTGGATTACTATTGGTAAAAAAGTTAAGAATTTAAGGTTAGAGGAAAAGTCTCTTTTTGAACCCGGAGTCTTTAGGTATAATGGCTGCTAGGATCTGGGACTCCGGGCTTAAAAACAACTTGTTTCAATTCATTATATTTCATGAGTTTTTTATTTTATTTAGCAGATTATATATATATATATATATATATATATATATATATATATATATATATATATAAAAAAACCAACATGTTCATATTTATGCATGTCAAGATAATTTTCGATTGTAGAGATATATATAATAAGATTCGATTATGCATGTCAAGATATTTCGATGTCAAGATGCAGCTAAGGAGCTTCATCTTGAGATCGAAAAAATCATAAAAGGCTTGCGAGCTGCAGGTTGTAACCCCTTGTATAAACGTTTAAACAATGTAATGTAGACAATGTACTTACAATGTAAGTTACATGAATCTTTTTTGAATGCCCAGCAGACTGAGACAACAATAACTTTGAAAAAATAATAGCGTTACGAGTCTTGTGTGTAGTTATTTAGTTCTGTATGTCGGGTCTTTTTAAAGCACAAAACAGTTTTTAAAAAGTAGGAATATAAATTATAGGATAGGAATTAAAATACTGAAGGTTGAGAGACTATTTAACACAGAACTACAAACGCTGCCTAACTTTCCTTTTTTTGAATAGTTAAATTTATAAAAAAAAGAAACACGTTCAAAAAAAAATAAAGTGTTGACCTCAACTTTTCTTGACTTCCTCCCCTCCCTATTGTCAACAATTGTCAAAAAAATTCAGACCCCCTCTTCCCACTATTTTGTTGACGTAATTAATGGACATCTTCTGATTTTATAAAAACTATCGTTTTATAAAATTTCTTTTAAAAAAGGTAATTTTTTAAAGGTTTTTTTAAACAAATTTTTGTTAAAAAAAATTTAAAAATTATTTTTATTTATAAAGCGCATTTATAAAACAATAAAACCTGTATTACATTTTTTATGTATTTAATACACATCATCAGTGTGGCTACCTCGTTATCAGACAATTAATTTGATTTTTAAGGACTTTTTTCTTTTTACGAACTTTTTTACAAAGATGTTTTTTTTTGTGCAAAAAATGGAATTTATTTAATGTATCAAAAAATGAAATCGTACAAAACCGACATAAATTTTCTATGGTTTATGTTAATAATAATAAAATATTTTTAAATCTAATATAAATAATACTATAATATATAATAACATTATTCTATAGAGGATTTTAAAACTTTATTTGTTATATTTTAATATCCTAAGCTGTTTAAAATTCTAATTAATTAAAGGAGAAATTCGATGGAGTTATCATTTAGTTTGCAGAATATTCTCTGTGAAAAAATTTGAAAAAAATGCACGACAAAAAGGTACAAAGAAGTGGTAAAAAATAGAATGCATAGTATGATAAAAAAGAACAAAAAAGTATATACAACAATGGCACAATAGATAATAACATAATAGAAAAAGAAGTACATAATGTAAAAGTTTAGAAAGTTAAATAATAGGAAAGTAAAAACCAGCACATAAAACGAAAATATTTGAAAAGTACAAAGTTACAAAGTAAAAAAGTACGTAAAAGAAAAGTACAATAAAGTACAAGTAAAGAACTTTTTTAATACAGCTTTATTAATCATTTTTCCCTTTTTTTTACACCTAATGATACAGATTCTTTTCTGCATCATTAGAGTTATCTATATAGTTACAGAAGAAGTTCATTAAGAACCTAAAATATAGTATCAAAACATAATATACTCTCAGTAACAATTTCAGAACTTTTTTTTTTAAAAAAACCTAATACAAATTATAATTTAAAAATAAATAGTAAAAGACATAAATAAAATCAATTTAAATAAAGATTATTAAAAAAAAAGAAAATACTAAAAAAAAAAGATGCTATAAAATTAAAAAAAGATAAAGAGCAGACTAATATCTTATCAACGCCTTCAGATTCAGTTTTAATCAACGCCCTCAAATCCCTCTGTGTTTTCAATAGCTAGACGTAGTTTTTCACGAAGCTCATGGTAACTATGATATGGCGGAAGATCAATTCGATTAAAGCTAAAAACATAAAGGTATATTAAAGACTCATTTAAAATTTTTGAAAATTTAATAAATCTTCATAATGCTTTTATATCTCAAAATATTAATTATTATTACCACGTGTGTGACCTAGGTAGTTGGTGAGTGTTTCCCCATCGCTCAATGGTAAACTTTTGAGGGCCATTACTTCCATATAATTCAGCAAAGCCATTCATTGGAACTCGTGACGTACCAGTAACAAACTGTAACAGTCTAGCTTTCATTTCGTCGTCAAAAGTTTGAACGGCCTAAAAATTATAAATATAAAAATAAATTTTTTTAATTTAAAAAACATCACTTTAACAGTGTAATATTTAGATGATACATAAAAAAATTGGCCATTTAGGTGACACGTATAAAACATGAGTTTGATTGTAAAAAAAAAAAAAAAAAAAGCGTCACGTAACACACAGAAAGCATTAAATTAAACATGCAAATATTACTATGTTTTGGAACTTTATCTTATTATATAGATATCAAAGTTTTGAAACAAAAACAAAAAAACAAAAAAAAAAAACATTGTAACAGTTATTTGTTTAATTTGAACTTATCAGAAAAAATTCACAGCAGCAATTTTTATTAACATCATCTTTTACACCCGTGTTTCCCCACAAGCATGAATTGGACAATTTTTCACTCCTTCATAAAAATTCTGCTCGTTTTCTTTCTAAGCTAAACTTATCACTAGTTGTTCTTTAGTTTTATTTATTAAACACGTTATCATTCCAAAAACTAGAAACCATATTTTCTATTCTTCTAAACGCTACATATTATATACACTACATATAATCTCAACTTTTATTTTTATAGCAAAAAATTATAACATAATTTTTATTACTTTATAATCTTTAATTCAAAACCTAATTTTGTTTAAACATAAATAAATTAGAAAATTAATGACACTAAAATGACGAAAAATAATTTAAGCATTTACACATAGACAATGTTGATAAAATAAATATCGATTTTTAACATTCAATTTCAAGCATTTAACATAACATTTTCTATCATTCATCTGTAAAATATCTGCCATAATCTTTAAAATAAAATTTCACAATTAACTAATTTTTAAAATGTTTTTATCATAAGAAAACAATTTTTTCAATTTATTTATACTCATTTTTAATTAAAATTTGAAACCTTTTAATTAAAACTTGAATTAAGGAGAAAAAAAAAAAAAAAAAAAAAAAAAACTTTTCAAATTTTAACATTCAAGCTTTACTTAACTGTTGTTAAAATTTAGTTACTAAAACTCAAATTTTAATAAACAAAAAACCTATTGAAACTTCTTCCGAAAAAACTTCTAAAGATATTGTTATTTCTTCCAAAAGAACTCCTAAATATATTCAAATGAAATCCTAAAGATATTCTAAAGGTCCATAAAGTTCCAAGAAAGCGATAACAATGATAAAATGCAAATCTGATTACTTTTAATCATGCACAATGTCTACATACTTGAATAAATATAAAATACATAAATATAACAAATATATACGATTTTATACAAAAACAAGAAGTTGGAAACATCTATTTACAATATTTTTATTTACTTATTTACAATAATAGTTGAAAACAAGTACCAAAAAATCCTTACTTTCCAAAACCATTGTATGACAACATGTTTGTCATGATATCCACTTCTATATTGTGTGTTTTTTCTCCAATCTTCCATATCGATTTCCCCCAAACCGCAAAGTAAGTACTATTAAAATAAATACGATAAGCCAACAAACGTTAAAAAAACTTAAAAACAGCCAAGCAATATAATTTATGTTCAATTTTTATGCACTTGAAACAAATTGACAACTGAATTGCAAAAAAAAAAAAACTTTTTATGAAATATGAAACAAATGTTTTAAACTTCAACAAACTTTTGGAATAAATTTTAAAAACAAACTAATAATTTTAATAAGTTACAATATAGCTATAAAAATAAGTTTTTTATTGAATTCAATTAAAAAAAAAAGATTTTATATTTATAAACTTTCAGCTTAAAAATCTTGCATGATATTGAGTTAAAAATTGGAGTTTTTCAATAAAACTCATAAATGAGTACTGGGAAAAAAGTTGTAAATATTATTTGTAATGCACATTTAACTTTCTTGTAGTAACTGAACGTGAGGTGAAACAAACATTGCTCCGGAAAAAAAAAAAAAAAATTTTAAGATATCAAATAGACTTTTTAAAATTTCACGTCAACTAGGGTGTTCCAGAAAATTGGTTCAAAATTGTCGTAAACATATTGAAAAAAACAATATTATTGATGATAAAATTTGAAAGCCACAGACAAGAAAAACTTCAACCAATATGGATCACCAAATTGTTAGGATGTTTAAAAAAGGTCTTTTTTGAGATATCCTAATTAACTTCTAATGAAATGAAAACCAAAATTGAAGAACAGTATCACGTAGCCGTGTCAGCCCCAACCATTTAAAATGCGTCAGCCCCAACCATTTAAAATGCGTCAGCCCCAACCATTTAAAATGCGTCAGCCCCAACCATTTACTGTTGTTTATAAGAAGCTGGTCTTCAAGGCTGTGTAGCAAAGAAGAAACCTCTTGTTTCAAAACGAAATCGACTAAAACGATTAAGGTTTGCAAAAATGTTCCTAAATAAAAATGGACTGATGAATCCAAGTTTAATCACTTCCGGTCTAATGGGAAAGATCATTATTGCATATATATGCAATGTATGCAGAGTATGTATGCAGAGTATGTATTATTTTAAACACTATGTTTAAAATAATACATAATTTAATTTTAATGATATTTAGTACAAAACTTTGTTCCTACTTTTTATTAGCTTCAAAAAATAAACAGTTTATAAAATTCACAACATTTAAAAAAGTTCTTTTGTTGAGATTGCTTTTTAATATATTATTTTGTTGAAATTTAACAATTTGTTTTTTATGCTTCATTAAAGTGAGTTAGTGCATTTTATATTTTATATAGTGCATTAAAACAGTTTTTTCCTAATAACAAATGCTGCACATTTTTTTAGTTTATATCATTCAAACATTGAAGGATAAAAAACCCAGAACTTTTATGAGCATTATGGGTAGATAATCGATGAGCCGAAAAGATGCTTTGTGCTCAGAAAAAGTTATCAAAATTGAAACTATAACAGGAGTTAGTCAAGAAGTTACCTTCCCTATTGTCAATTATAATGAATAAAATGCAACAAAAAGATTTGAATCATTTTTTCATAAAAAAAAAAAAAAATCATTGGAGAAGATAAATATGATTCTAAAGCTTCAGAAATTTACACCTTGGGGTAGGATATGTGATATACCTATAGTAAGGTATAATTTTATACCTTTTAAAATAGAAAATTATACTTTCAGGATTGTATGACAAATCATTATTTTTAATATAATTTTAGGTGGAAAATTATCCCTTACTAAAGGTATATCACATATCCTACCATAAGTTAGAAATTTTTATTAGAGCGTAGTTAACATAAGCAAGTTAATTTTAAAAAAGCATCTGGAGTTAAAATAAATATAAAACATATGAAACAATAAAACTTAATATAAACATATAAAGATTTATGTAATATATGTAAAATTTTTAAAAACAAAAATTGATTTTAAGAATAAAAACATTTTTGTTTGTTTGTCTTCAACTTAAAATTTCTTAAGCAAAAATTGCTACACATCATATTATATACATAAAATCAACAAAAAAATAACATTTTTATATACATAAAGTAGACAAAAAACAACATTTTATATACCTAGAGTAAACAAAAAAAAAAACATGTTATATACATAAAATAGACAAAAAACAACATTTTATATACATAGAGTAAACAAAAAAACCTCTTATATCCATGAAGTAGACAAAATAAAACAAAAAAAAACACAATTATTCAAGCCTAAAAATTAAAAAAAATAAATAAATTAGCTAACATACTTCCAACTCTCTTTCATCAAAAACTTGAATGGCTGTACGTGGAATTATATCTTCAAAACCCTATTTTAAAAATGACCACATAAAAAATGATAAAACTGATTTAAATTGGTTGTAACCATAGTAACTGGTGTAACCATAAGGCTCATTGTTAAATACTTGCCTAATATATTCTAGTTGATAGTAAACAAGGATTAATCAAAACAAGCATAATAATATAAGTAACCTTCATAAATGCATTCATTTGTTCAGAGACACGATCCATAAATCTCCATTTGATGACCAAACTAAAAGTTGTGAATGATAAAAAAAAATATTTTTCTTAATAATTATAAAAAAAAAAAAAAAAAAAAGAAAAAAAAAATTGTAAAAAAGAAGTAGGTTTTTTTTAATCATTCTTGAAAAAAGCAGTACCACAAAATTAAGCTTCAGTCACTTAAGTTCAGTCACTTTCGCTTCAGTCACTTTATCTTTGAATATTCATATCTTAGGTATAAATGTTTTCAATTTTTTTTCTCTTAATTTTTATGTACAACTACATCGTTAATTCATATTGTAAAAATTAAACAAAAAAAAAATCAAAACTAACATTTGATATTTTGTTTCAAATGAGAACAGCTAGCTTGACCAATCTTTCAATACCATCTCATAAGTTATATATATACATACATACATGCATACTTACGTACATACATACATACGTACATACATACATACATACATACATACATACATACATACATACATACACACATATACACACATATATACACTTAACATACTAATGCTAAATTTCAAACTTTTAGAGTTCACTTTACTAAAGTTTTAATAATATGCACATTTTTATCATTTAGTGATGTGTTGTTTTAGTGATGCATTGTTTTTAGTGATGGGTTGTTTTTAGTGATGCGTTGTTTTTAGTGGTGCGTTGTTTTTAGTGATGCGTTGTTTTTAGTGATGCATTGTTTTTAGTGATGGGTTGTTTTAGTGATGCGTTGTTTTTAGTGATGCATTGTTTTTAGTGATGTGTTGTTTTTAGTGATGCGTTGTTGCATGATCCATAAGTGACCAAAGTTATATTATTTTAAAATTTCATTGATTTTGAAGAAAAAGAGTACTTAACATTTAAAAACCAAAAACTTTTTTTTTCAAAAAAGTTAAGTTAAAGTTAACTTAGTGACTTAATAATACTAGTGTTAAATTTGATCATTTTATTCAATACTTAGCTTATTTAGATTTCAACATTATGCATTAATTCCAAACTCTTTTTTGAAATCAAATTAATTCAGTAGAATTCAAATAAACATCATTTTTTTATGATTTTATGATGCATAAAGTAATAACAAATTTTATTGGAGAAAAAAATGTTTATAAATATTAAAACACGTATGAATTTTTGTTATTTATTCTTTAATGATCGAACTTACATGGTGACCAAACTTAGGTTTTTGGTAATACTTTTGAAAAAAAAAAAACTATATTTGTTAAAAAAAGCAAAGGATACTCAATGTATTGTTTTTTGTTTTCATTGGTAACAGGAATGTTGGCACCGTTCGTTATTAGCTCTTTTGATACTATTGTGCCAAATGACTCATAATCTAATACAAACATAACATCCAGCTCAGTAGGATCATGTGATAGTAGCCAATTCAAACTCTCATGATATTCGGAATCCTAAAGTGAATCAATAACTAAAATATAAATGTGATATAATTAGTGTAAGTAATAAGATGATTTAATTACCATAAATCCAGGTTTATTTAAACTTACTTTACTGAAAAAAAATGAGTAATAGGTTTTTATGTTTAAAATACTAAAGAATTTATTTAATAAAAATTTATTATAGTAGTTTATTATCACTCTATTAAAATTGCTATGATTAATATTGCTACAAGTGTTGTTTGGTTCTCTAAAAATACAAAAGCAAATATTATTTAGAATCAAGGAGGAAACAACAGACTAAAGGTACATAGTTTATGGGTAAAAATCCCATTTTATTAAAACTTTTGATAATATTTGAAAACTCTCTAGTGTAACTAACCAAGTTAATGACCAGTCTAGCTAAATAGGCTAGCGATATTTTTAATAAAAATAAATAAATAGAAAATAAAAATAATAAACTATGCTTACAACACTCTCCATGTCTTTCAAAGTAATTTTTTTACCCAACATCATTTTATAAAAAGGTCGAATAAAGAAAGCTATAAAAATGAAGACAATTTATAAAATAAGGCCAAACTAAAAAAGCTATAAATAAACCTTATAAAATAGCCAAATTAAAAAAGGTGTAAAAATAAATTATAATACATAAAACAAAGTTGATTAAAAAGCCTTCTATGTAAAATAAAATTGAATTAAGAAAGCTGTTAAAAGAAAAAATATTTTTTAGAATTGAAATAAAAATGAAAAAAGCCATAAAGAGAAAACATAGTTTTTAAACACTAGTCTCATAAATGCTGGTAATTATATAAAAAAAACTTGTAAACTAAAAAACACACATACAAAAAAAAATTATTCACCATCTAAAAGTTTGCCATGATAAACTGCCATTCCAGCAACACGTCCAATGAAGGTAAAATAAGAAAGATGCTGTTCATTTGCAATTCCAGAATTAGAATTGATTTGTAAAGTGTAGTTGTCTCTGAATGGAAAAAAAACTGATTTTATATAAAAAAAGCTTAGCAGTAACACTAGCTTATCCATTTCTTAGTGTTACTAGCTTAGGAGTAACACTAGAAAATAATTATTGTAACAAGACCTAGCTTAGCAATAATACTAGAAAGTAATTATTATAATAAAACTGATGGTTGATAATAAGTAATAAAAACTAAACTTTATTATACATTTTTTAAATTTTTCAGTTTTCAAATAATTTAAAAAAAAGCGTATGTTAAACTGTACATTTTAAGACCACTACAACCTTTCTTGTTTCAAATAACATTCAATGTACATAAATTCTAGTTTCATTTAACATTTGGTGTACATAAATTCTAGTTTCATTTAACATTTGGAGTACATAAATTCTAGTTTTATTTAACATTTGGTGTACATAAATTCTAGTTTCATTTAACATTTTGTGTACATAAATTCTAGTTTCATTTAACATTTGGTGTACATTATATTTTTATTTCATAAAATACTCAGTGTACATTAAAGTGAAGAAACTTAGTGGACAAAAACAACTTAAAGTTTTTTTTTGAAAAAAATCATTTTTTATTATATTTTTCATTTCCAACATATTTATATCAAAAGGGGATGAAAAAATAACAAATACTTTATTAAAAACATTAAAAAAAATCTTGTACCCAATAAAATAGTCGAACTTTAATAGTAGGTACCTTTAGTTTTACCGGGTTTAAATAAATTTCGCAAATCATACCAGATGAAAAATATCTTAACAATCTGTGAGTTTTACAACCAGAGGTGTTAGAAATAATACTTCCAAATGTATACAGATACATTTGCAAGTATCAGGTGCAAGTATAAATATATACACTTACATGTGATACTCATACATATAAATGTGGACAATATTGTGACAAATAAATATGCTCCTTTCATAATACCATAGATGTAGTATTGAACAATAAAAGTATTAAGAACACAAGTAAATAAAAAGTTTTTAAAGTTTTCCAAAGATTTTCTTATAGAGTTAGTTGATTATAAAAGCATGTGAAATAATGACATAAAAACACACCACAAAATCAAAACTTCCTAAAAAAAGTATAAAATACCTTAAACATAATGAATTGTTAATTTTAAATCCTGATAACAAATTTTATTCTCTGCAAATTAATTACAATGAGTGTTCCTTAATTGGAGTCAAATAAAATTCAGTCATCAATATATTTGCGAGAGGAACAGTTTCAGGACAATAATTTGTTTCATTATTATTTTTATTATTGGTTATTTAACTTGAAAATTTAATATGAATTTTTAAAAACCTATTTAAAAGATTTAGTTTTAAATAGAAGCTATTAATTATTTAAAACAAATCAAACAACAAATATAAAATAAGATCTCATTCATTAAAATAAAAAAATTAAATTTATCTTAAAGGGAACAGGAACATAAATGAATAATTACATCAGCTGTCAAAAATAACAGATAAAAAAAAAAAAAGACTTTCATTGTTCCTTGTTACTTTACATAAAATTCAAAAAAAAAAATCTGTCTAACATTTAAAATACTATTGAGCAATACTCTGTTTAATTAATATTGAGTGCATACTCTGATTAGACATAAGAGATAATGACACCTTTTTTGAGCTGACACAAGATTAAACAACGATACAATAATACCAGTCAAAAATCAAGACAAATTGTGTTAGTCAACATTAATTTGTTTCAGAATGTTAAAAAAAAGTTAATTTTATCTTTTAAAAGTTAAAAATTATCTTTTTTAAATTAAGTTAAAAAAAGATAATTTTTGAATTTTTTACCTACATACTAATAAAATTTTATTTCATGATAAAACTTTTGTTGATGTTTTATTTCTTAAAATGTTTTGTTTTTACTGTATTCAACTCTGTAAATACCAATGCTAATAAAGTTTTGAGATGATTTCATGGTCATATCAACATTTCTCATTAAAAAAAAAAAAAATCAGAAAGACTTGATATATTATATTTATATGCATTTGTTGCAGTGATTTTCATATAAAACAGAAATTAAACTCACGTTGCTGAATATTCAAAAAGACCATAATAAGGATTAAACATTTCTTTAGATAATAAGTAAAACCATTCTCTAAAAAAAACAGTATATATATATATATATATATATATATATATATATATATATATATATATATATATATATATATTATATATATATATATATATATATATATATATATATATATATATATATATATATATATATATTATATATATATATATATATATATATATATATATATATATATATATATATATATATATATATATATATATATATATATATATATATATATATATATATATGTAATGTATAATGCATACATGCAGTAAATAAATGCTAAAATATTGATAAATACACTTTTAAACTAAAATAATTACTAAACAATTTTGTAAAGCAACTTAATTAAATAATTTATTTAATTAAGTTCTTTTTGCATAAGGGTCATTTGCATAAGGGTTCCATCTCAAATCAACTAAAAAAAATATTTTTGGCACCATACCATCTCAGATTTTGCTGATTTTTGGAACACAAGCTTAAATTAATAAAAGATAACTTCACTCCAAATTTTAGTATCAGACTCCTTACGGTTTCAGAGATATTGATACTTAGTCCCAACCTCTTTTTTTTCAGTGCTATTTATTTTTTAAACTGATTGCACAACACAATTAACTTTAACTTATGAAATACTTGTTCAATAGTGATGAAAATTTCTACCTAACTACTTTTTAGGATGAGGAACTAAAAAATCATAGCAAAAACGTTAAAAAATTTAAGCTTCTATATAAATATTCAATTTCAAAATGGTGTAACAAATTTTTTTTGTAAGATTTTTGATGCCCCGTACAAATAAAAGTTTATTTTGAGATGCCTAAATGATATGATTCTGAAATTTTTTCCTAATGTTCTATATGTAACAAACTCCATAATACAAAAAATCTGGAAGGGTTTTCTTTTTTAAATCAAATTTATTTATATTCAAAGTCTTACAATCAAAAAAAATCAAAAAAAATATTGAAATTACACTAAAGCCATGGAAATAATTAAATTGCAATAAGAAAAATTAACTAAAAGGCAATAAGAATTAACAATCTTTGACATAAAAAAAAAAAAAAATGAATTAAAAAAATCTTTAACAGATAACAAATTAGTTCTCTGTTCAGAAGTTTGCCCAGCTATCTTCAATGCTCTGGCGATCAATTTCACTGATTTTGTATTGCCTTCCTGTAACAGTTGTTGGAATATTAATCATTAACAATAAGCTTGTTGATGGAACCCAGCAAACATCATCTCTAGAAAGCCAATAAAATGACCTTGAAGGGTAACATGTATGCATGAATCTGACTTGAAAGTCTTTATTTTCAATATCAATTTCTTCAACTAGTTTGATCCATGGATCAGACTAGTAGAGGAAAATTGAGAAAAATCAATTCTGATTTGTTACACACATGAAATTCAATGTTTAAAAAAAATAAAATAAAGTTTATGAGTTATAGTAACCGCATACGTACTCACTGTCTTTAACACCCCTTCCCCCCTTTGTACGCGTTCATATGTTTTTGGGAAATCCCCTCCCCCCATACCTGCGTATGTACTTTATGGATGGCCCCTAGAATTTCTTTTCTCCATTTCACTTCGAATTATCATGTTTGACTCCTTGGATATATAATAAAAATTAATTCCTATGATTTCATTTTGGCAAAAATTAAAAATTGCGGATGCCGTATGAATATGATTAGTTTATATTGGATGAAGGCTAATTGTTCGATGAAGGCTAGCAATTGAAGTTGGTCTTTTTACAGTCCCACCAATACCATCACAGGGTAATTTACAGTGATTTGTTGCAAAGAAAGACCATGTACATTTCATAGCAAAATCTTGTTCATAGTGGCATATATTTATGAAGTGATTGCAGTTCTTGTACTGGCCAGCACGCCCATCTGAAAAATAATGGACAGTTTTTATTTGATGAGAAATATTGCTTTTAATATGTTCAATTGTTAGCTTCATCACATGATAAACCATATCTACCATTGAATCATCTGAAAAAAACATATTAAATCACATTTGAGAGCATTATTTTCTTTATAATAAATTACTGCTGGATGCAATGTTGCTTGAATTTTTTTTTAGTGAAAACTTTATTTTGTCTTATACAACAAACTCATAATTTTCTGAGAAATCACAAAGGACAACAACCTCAATACTACTTTACTCATTTTTTACCTTTTAAAGAAACATTTTGAATTTTTGCAATGTAAGAATGAACAGTAAGTTTTTGTAACTTATTTTTCAAAGTATCAATAAAGCTACTAGTCGTTTCTGTTAGACTTACTAGCAGATCAGTCTGTTGTCTTCCATTGTTTCTAATCTATACAATAATCATCATCTTTATCAATATCTTCTTGAGAGTAGAACTCATTTTCTAGATAATGTCTTAATATAGAATTTTCTGGACACAAAGAGCAACCATGTATAATGCAATTCTTGTTCGCCCTACTACAAACAAGCATATCAATAAGTTTGTGATAACCTTTGATAATTTAACTGGACTAATCATTAACTTAACATTTTAATGGTAGGTGCACACACATACTGTACCATTTTGGATGATGCGAGCAAAAGTTAGAAAAACAAGTCTTTACATCTGGATAACAGGTTTTAAACTTTACATACAGTTCTTTTAGATTTGAGACAATCAAACGTTTTTGCATGTGAGATCTTCGAGCTATAGTAACAAAATCTTTTTTACCAGACATTAGCTATTTTCATCATTACAATAAAATTCAATAATTTTATCTACTGTTTCTTGAGGTATTTACTTTCCTTTTTTTTCTTCAGGAAAAGTTAAAATACCATTTTTCTGTATCAAATTGCATAATATCTGCACCATATAATTAGTAACATTAAATTCTTTTTCTATATCTTTGTGAGACCAAGAAACTGAAACCAATAGTCAATAGTTGAATTTTCTGATTACGATTGGAAATTAACATTTTATATTTGATTTTTCTAATAAGTATATCCATATCATTTGCTTTACCTTTAACTTTCTTAGACAATTTATTGAGGGAATCTTCTTGGCTTAACTGTTTAGGATCTATATTTGAAGTCCTTGCAATACCTAATTTTACTGTTTTTTGAACATGTAACAATTTTTTTTTTTGTCAAGAGCAACTCTTGAGTGACTATTTACAGCATGCATTTTGAGAGGACTTATGTTCATAGTCCTCAAAGAAGAATTAAGATTTTTTTTAAACAATTCATTTATATTAAGTTCATTATCTTCATCTTGGTAAATCTGGCTACAAGTCAATTCTCTTTGTCAATCATCCTTAAATGACATCAATTTATTCGTACATGAAGGATATATCTTTTCTCTTGGAATAACATTAATACCAATATTTTTTAATTTCCCAGCAAGTTGAATATTACAAATTTCTTGGTTTATTATTCCAATTGAACATCTTTCTTTATCATTCATATTGTTATATTATTTTTTAGTTCTGTAAGAAACAATTTTAAAATAATTATTGTTTGAAGATTTGAAAATAGAAAATCCTTAAGCTATTAAACATAATGATTGCATAAAATAAAGATCTTTTATGTGAAATGCAAACAAATTTATATATTAGAACTGTACCTTAGACAGCAAGATTCTAAAAATCTTTTTAAAAAATGCAAAAAATTTATGCAAATTATTTTTTTCATTATTAAATAACAGTTTTTCTTAATTTTTTAAATAAAACTTTAAATGCAAATAAATCTAATTTAAAAAAGAAAACCCCTGCAGTTTTTTTTTATTATGGAGTTTGTTATATATAAAACATTAGGAAAATAATTTCAGAATTTTATCTTTTAGGCATCTCGAGATAAACCTTTTTTTGTACAGGACATCAAAAAACTTACAAAAAGTGTTACACCATTTTGAAATTGAATTTTTATATAAAAGATTCAATTTTTGTGTGTTTTAGCCATCATTTTTAAGTTCCTCACCCTAAAGAATAGTTAGATAGAAATTTTGACCACTATTAAACAAGTATTTTTCAAGTTAAAGTTAATTGTGTTGTGCATTGAGTCTAAAAAATAAATGGCGCTGAAAAAAAGTGGCAAAAAAGAAATTGGGACTAAGTACCAATAATTCAAGCTTGTATTCCAAAAATCAGCAAAATCTTAGATGACATGGTGCCGCGCATAAATTGAGCAATGACCCATAAATTATTCAACTAAGTTATTTTATGTTAAATAAAGTTTTATGTCTTTATGATTGTGTGCGCACTAATTAAAATTTTAAAATTAAATGCTGCACACAACTATAATATCAAAATTTTATATTATTATAATTATTACTATATAAATTTCATTTTTTTAGAATATACTTTTGTTGAAAAAACAATGTTTTCAACCTACAAGTAACCCCAGCTCAACCTGGAAATGTTATTTTTGTTTAAAAATATGTTATATATATTGAAATAAAAGTCAACAATGAAATCAACAACAAACAATTGAATACCATAATCTAATAAGATTGAATTATAAAATATCATAATATGTAGCTTTATTTAGAAAAAATACAAACTTTATTTTTGTTTAAATAATAACAATATTAGTTAAAATCATTTTTTACACAACTTTTTAATTATATTTTTACTTCTTATTAGTTAATTGAATATACTCTTCAATATAAAATACCTAATACATGAATCAGATTAGACATTTAATAGTAACAATAATAACAATAATATTAAAAATAATAATAATAATAATAATAAAAACATTAACAATAATAAAGAATTGTATAATGTGCCATGTTAATATTATTCTTACTTATTTACAAATGTTTTACCTAGCAACTCCGCCATAGTCAAGTCCAGTCTCTCCATCAAAAACAATCCATAATTTAGTTTTAAGCAACTCTACATTAGTACATGAATGCAAAACAAATCGATAAGAATCTTGAAATAAGTTATTACGTCGCACATGTATTTCATATTTGCTGGGCACATTTTCCTATTATAAAATTATATAATATTTGCAGGGCAAATTTTTCTGTTATAATATAAAATTAAAAAAATCAAATTTGATATAAAATAAAAACAAGATATTTATATATTATATTTTTATCTTGTATAAATTAATTCATAAAAGAATGAAGTTTAAGTAATATATTAATAAGATATGCACAAACAGTATTTTGAATAATTTAAATATTTAAAATCAAATTAAAATGCAAAGTGGACATTCACAATCTTTGTATTTAATGACCAAGTGGGTTTTGTATATATAAGGGAACAATTATACCTAATAAACAAATTATATCAATTTAATGATTTTTATTATGTATTTTATATAGAATTTTGATGACTTTTTCTTTTTTACTACATTGAACAGTCCAATATTCCAACATTAGCTGTTATGAACAGTCCAATATTCCAACATTTAATACATTGAACAGTCCAATATTCAAAACTTATAAAACCTCTCATTACAAAATTAATTACGCAAAACTTTAAAGTTATACTTTATTGCAAAAAATGCATAGTAAGAAAACTTTTTACATAGGTAACAGCTATTAAAAAATTTCAATTTTAGTATCAATTTAATATTATAGAATGCATTTATTACCTTTTATAACTTTTTATTTGCATTCAAACTGGTTTAATACAAAAACAACAATAACAACAACAACAAAGTATTTTATTTAAAAACAACAATGACAACAACAACACCAAAAACAATGACAACAACAAAAAAATAATTTCATTTTAAAAAACAAAATAAAACATTTACCGGTTTTTTTAACCTTGATCTGAAAAAATCATATTTTCTTTTGTAGTCTCGAGAATAAGGTAAATTCTAATGCAATAATATTCAATAAATTTTCTATTAAAACTTTACAATTGTGTGTGGTGTGTGTTAAATATATATATATATATATATATATATATATATATATATATATATATATATATATATATATATATATATATATATATATATATATATATATATATATATATATATATATATATATACAGTAATTGAAAATAAGTTTTAGACCAATCACCATTTTTTTGATTTGATAGTTATCTTTATTTTTTAGAAAAATTTCGAGTTCAGAAATACTAAATAATTAAAAATAGCTTTATTAGACATTTCATTAAAGTACTTTTTTGCAAATCTTTGGGATAATTATTCGTATTCCATGTGTTTCCATAAGATTATTGTACTATGTGTTTTTATAAGATTTCTACACAGTAATCCAGTAAGTAATCCCTCAAATTTAATCAAACCTCTTAATCCAGAATATATTAGCATCTTTTGCACCAAAAATTTTGAATTTAGATTCATCTATGTACAGAATGCAACTAAACAATTCCTAAATTCTGAAATCTGTGTAGACATGCATATTTTAGACATTTTCCTCCATTACCAGAACATTACACAACACAAATTCTGATTTCAGGAAATGTTGAACACAAGAAGATAAAAAAAAGTTTTTAATGTTACCTCTTGTTTTGCTAAATTTTTTAATACCTCTGCTAGGCCTAGACCTCTACTAGCCTTAGGCCTCTGCTAGGCCTAGACATTACAGTCAAGAAAATTACATTTTTTTGTAGTTACAACCTTTAACTCCAAAACTGAAACCTTAAAGACCATAAACCACAACACCACTATCGCATAGTTATGTATGAGCGCTCTATCACCTCACAGTAGTGCCAGTTGAAACTTCTTTTCCAATATCTTAAATAAAGCCCCAATTTCTTCTAGTTTTTTAATTTGTTTTTAATTTGAATCTAGTTATTTAATTTTTATTTGCCTGAAGGCAGTTTTTAAAACAGATGTCTTGATGGCTATTTGTTGCTGTGTTTAACCTTACTGGTTTAAAATTTTTTGTTTAATATTAGCACTTTACCTGATTAAAATAAAAATTATTTTTAAATTATTTAATTACAAAATTAAAAAAAAATTATTTTCACAACTATTCCACTTATTTCTCAATTTTGAGACTTCAAGATTATATAAATAATCATTGAGATTATATAAACAATCTTCAAGATATTTTATTTTCAAGACGCTCACATTATTAGAGACACTAACTATTTAGACAAATATAACAATGAAAAGTCCATATCATTTAAATTAACTCTATTAGCATTTATGGTTGTAACATCTGCACTCTTATCTGATTTGTTATTTGGGATTGACAAAATAAATAAATATATAGGCCAAATGTGGGACAAACTTTTATTTTTCAAAATGATAATTTCTTTAAACCTTTTTAAAGACATTATTTAATCTAAAAATGATAAATAAATCTTTAATAAATACAAAAATACTATTAATTTTGGTTTTGGTCTAAAACCTACATTCAGTACTATACTAAAAAATAAAAGTACTTCAATCTTTCTCTTATCTTTTGTCTGAAGTCGTGGATCTTCCCATTGAGTTGATTGTGTTTCTAATAAATTGAATATTAATATATATATATATATATATATATACATATATATATATATATATATATATATATATATATATATATATATATATATATATATATATATATATATATATATATATATATATATATATATATATATATATATTCCTATAGAAAACGTCTTAAAATTATATTAAATTAACTTCAAAAAAACAGCAACAACATAAAGTTAAAATTTTATAGAAAAATTATATAATAATAAAAAAAAAAAAAATAAAACAATGAATAATATATATATATATATATATATATATATATATATATATATATACATATATATATATATATATATATATATATATATATATATATATATATATATATATATATATATATATATATATATATATATATATATATATATGTATAATAAAAAAGTATAAAATAAAAATACATAATAAGAAAAATATAATAAGAAAAAATAATATAATAAGAAAAATATACAACAATAAAAAAAAAAATATAATAATAATAAATATTAAAATAATAAAAAAAAATAAAAAAAATGAAAATAAAAAAAAGGTGATAATTTTAGTAATAACAAAATTTGATGATAATTGTAGTTATAACAAAAACAAAATTAAAAGAATATTTTAATAGTAAGCAAAATTATGTATAAAAAGATAATTATGTCTAAAAAGATAATTATGTCAAAATATTTTAATAGTAAGTTCATATTCCTTTGCAATGACATCGCAAATGGCGGATGCGTTTAATTAACGGTGAAAAGAGAAAAAAGAGAAAAGGAAAAACGAAAGAAAAAATTTAAAGAACAAAAAAGATAAGTTAAAAATAAAGTGAAATAACAAAAATATTAAAAGGTATTGACAAACTAAAAGATTAAAGAAAAAATAAAACAAGAAAATGGATAAAAAAGTAAAACAAACAATAAAATAAAACAAAAACAATCAATTATAAGCGAAGTAACAAGTTAAAAGAAAAGAAATTCAAAAAATTTTCAAAAAAATAAGAAAAAGAACTAATTAAAACAAAAATAATTCGCTACAAATTTTTTACGCTTTTTTCTTTCCGCCAAAAATAACAAATATAATTTATTTTATTTTGTAGAAGTTTTTGTGTTTAACTTTTTGTTTGCGTGATGTTTGTTATTATTTGTGGTGTTGTTACTATTTATTTTTATTATGGTTCACTGTTGCTATTAATTGAGTGTTTTTTTATTTTTATTTAATTTATTATAGTTTAATCATTTTTTTAAAATTAATTTAATTGACGCTTGCTTTTATTTTTTAGTATTTCTGTTGAATTTTTTGTTTGTTTATTAATTTTATTTAGGTGTCACTCACACAAATAACTAGTTTTTAACTATATGAGTGACACCTAATCTAATTTTGTAAAATTAATAAAAAAATTGTAATTTCTAATTTTGGGTTAAATAAATGGATATGGGTAGGGATAATTATGTCTAAATATTAGCAATGACGGCTTAAAGATGGCAGCCTAGTTGAGCACGTGTTTTAAAATACGTTTTAACAATGATAGTATCAAAAGATACAACTCTAGCAATCAATACTGCTGACTTAAAAAGGAATTAATTAAACACATTATTAAAGCCAAGAAAGAAAATGAAAGAATAAATACCAAAAATGAAAGTTTAAAAAAACAGTTAGCTGAACAATGCAATTAAAGTAACAACAAACCACTCTTTAGTAATCTTATTAAAAAAACAATTGAAGGAGCACCCCCTATCAGTGATTCGGAAAACAAGATTATTAAATGTAATTTCAGCTGAACAAAAAGGAAAAGTTAAAAAAGAAAAAAATGTACTAGTGTTTGAATTAAAGGAATCGAAACAAAAAAGCAAGGATGAAATTAAAGAAGATGACAATGAAAGGGTTGGAGAGGTATTTGATGTTATTGGATTAGATAAATCCTGTATTGTCAAACATTTCAGGTTAAACATTAGAGACAAAAATAGACCAGAATCACTAGTTATTGAGCTAGTTGATCCATCATACCAGAAACAAGTTTTAAGTATTGCTAGAGATTTAAATAAAGTTGAGGCATATAAAAATAAAGTATTTATCAATCTGGACCTAACATATAGACAAAGAGAAATTCTTAAATTGCTACTTGGTGAAAGAAATAGGGTGAATAAAATAGAGGAAGATAAAAGTTCGACATTTCGATTTGTTATCAGAAACGATATGCTGCAGAAAATTGAAATCAAAAAACACTAAAAAGATTAATGCACCATCAAGTTTAATATCAAAACTCAGCTAAATAATGTGCTTATACATAAACATAACTTCATTAAAAAATAAGTTTGACAAACTAATTGAAGTGATTAACTCTAACAAAGCTAATGAAGTTATGATTTGTGAGACTTGGTGGAATAATGAGTCAGTAGCTAATATCAATGAATACACCTTATTTAGAAGATACAAAGGCGTCGGTAGAGGTGGAGGAGTGTGTGTATATATACAAAACAATAAAAAAGCATATGAAGTTTTAGAAAAATGTTTAAATGACCCTAATATAGAACAGATTTGGTACGTTATTGAATTAGGAAGTAAAAAAATATTATGTGGCAGTATGTGCAGAACCGGAATTAGCAACATAAGTAACTGTATCAACATCACAAAGTCTATTAATTTTGTTCTTTCAATAAATTTATTAAATAAATATACTAGAATCCTTATTTGTGGGGATTTTATTTCAACACAATCAGTGGGCAGAAGATTACTATGGCACACTAACTAGTGAGACTGATACATCAGCCAAAATTTTTGAACAATTGCTTCAAGCATCAGAATGTGATTAAGCCAGCGTTTCCAAATAACATTGGGAATGAAACGAATGTACTGGATTTGATTATAGCTGAGAATAAAAATAGAGTTTATAAACTGGAACACCTCCCACCATTGGGTAGTATTAACTATGGTCATCACATTATTAAATTTAACTACAGTCATGAAGAGTGTATTGACAACATTGTAGTTAAAAAAGAAAAATTTAGTTTCAATCAAGGGATATTTTATAAATTAAATAATTATTTCAAAATCTTAAACTGGGACAATGAATTCAAAGGTTTAGAAATAAACAAATGTTACAAAAAATGGTTGAGCCTTTATGAACAAGGATGTAAACTCTTTATTCCAATCATAAAACTGGGAAGCATTCAAACCAACAACAGAAAAAAGTAACGTTTGATTCAAATGTCGAAGGCAGAAATTCAGAGACAATTGTTTACTTGCAAAATACAAAGAGTTAAAAAAGGTTTAAAAAAAATAAGTGAATCAAAGAATTTAAGATTTTGAATATGAACTTGCTTTAAATTTAAAGTTTAATCCCAAGAAAGTTTATTCATATATTAACAATAAAAGCAAAGTCAAAGACAATATAAGAGCAATCCAACAAAAAAATGGTAGTTTCGAAACTGATTTAAAAGTAATTGCAAATACATTGAATGGGTATTTTGCATCAGTAAGAAAGAAGAAGAATTTATAACTGTTCTGATTAATTTAAAAGCCATATTAATCAAAAATAGTACATCAAAAATAGTACATCAAAAATAGTACATCAAAATAGTACATCAAAAATAGTACATCAAAAATAGTACATCAAAAAATCATTATAATTAGTACTTAATTATGCCAAACAACAACAACAACAACAAAAACAAATAACTATAAAAACCATTCAAACAAACATTCTATAATGTAACAAAATAATTTACTGGAAAAAAACCTAACCATGGTCGATAAAAAAAACTCTTCCATCAATGTGAACTCTTTCTTCCCACCCAGCCTGGAAAGAAAATAATTAGATAAAAACTACTTTAAAATTTTTATAACTAAATTATTTATACAGATATTTATAAATCTATTTTATATATATATATTATATAAATAAAAAAATTAAAATATATAAATTTGTAACAAAAAATAAATATTAAAAAAGTTTACCGGTAAAGGTTCTTGATCCTTATTGATGTTATTTTCAATATTTGTACGAGGGTCTGACTAAAAGCAAATCTACTATGTCTAATTTCCAAATATAAAGAATAGTTTTATAAAGTTAATTTTTTTATCTAATTCTACATCATAATAGAAATGCTCAGTTACCCAAGACGTTATTCGTTGGTTATGATTTATAAAAAAGACTCTATTATTCGGAGCTAACTGCATTGCCCAACCGGGTGGTAATGGACTTTCTGCTTGACTTGGTACATCAGGGTGAAGTCTTTCGGAATTTTCTGCACCTTGAGATTGCTCATTTTGATCATTTAAAGTAACATTTCTAAAAAATTGATGATTCAATCAAAATTTATAAAAATATAATAATAAAAAAATAAGCTCAATATATTAAAATAAAATACTCAGAAGTTACAAAAATTTCTTTAAAGAAAAAAATGAGAGAGAAGTTTTGATAATGGGAATGAAAGTGATTTATAAATCTACCAGGCTTGGTCGATCGGGTGCGATCGCACTTGATAAATGACCACGGAAATAATATTTAATTGCAAAAAACTGGCCAGATTTTTTAGTCGTTTTGAAAACATTTAAATCTATGTATGTTTCCTTAATTAAGTTCATTATTTTATTGTAAATTTTAAAATATTTTGTTTTGCGGACATACATGGAAACATCCATAAACTCGAATGTTCTCAAACATCTTTGTGCCGAAAATAAAAAAAAGAATATTTGCAAACACAAAAAACCCGCCAAATCTATAAAAAATTAATTCTATTGGTTCAAAAAATACTAACCGAAATTTCTAGAGTATTCTGTTGAAATATTTTAAAAAATTGTATTATTTGAGTTTTGTTACGTTTTCGTTGAGATTTCATAAATTGTTTTAAGAATATACTATCAAACGAACTATTATTTTAATTCTCGGAGCCACATCTACAAAGCTATAAATGTTTTAAACTAACATTATTTGTTTACAAAAATAAATGTTTAAAATGTTTTTATTTTATTTTGTTTAGTATATTCTTATTTTTTATATAAGGGATGTATTTTTTATGACTGTAATGTATTTTTTATGTAATGTGTTTTTTTTTATGTATGTAATTTTTGTGGATTTAATTTTATGTATGTGTATTTTATTCAAATGTAATTACATTTAAATAAAATAATTACATTTGAATAAAAATATGTAATCTTTTAAAGCAATTTGTGTGATCGATTTTGTAAACAAAAATACTTTCAATAATAACTGCGTTTTTAATGAAATTATTAATAATCATCAAAGTTAATACAAACAATTTTAACCACTAATCAATTTTCCTCAGTGTACCCAATAACTGATTCTTTCCTCCAAGAAAAAAAAGTTTTTAAGTTCTTAGAAATTAATTAACTAACTTCAATTATTTTTGCTTCAGCCATTCTTAAAAACTCGTTATACTTAAACATAAAATTACTTTTTTCTGTTTTAAATACTAAATAAAATTATAAAGCCCACTCATTAAACATCTTCAGCGTTATTGTGAAGCAGTTCCGCTTCTCCTCACATAGTAATTTAACATTTTTAGTTAATTTCTATTTAGCTTATTGTATTTTTACAGTAACTCAATGATTTAATTACTTCATTTGTTCATCTTACTAAGAAAAATTGCTTTAAATGTGTTAAACTTTTCAAACTACGCGAAGCATAAAACAGTTATTGAAAAAACTTTTTTATTTATAAATAACTCAGTGGGAAATCGGCTAGCGAATAGCTAGCTTAAATCGTAACAATAAAGACAGCGATTTGGCCACGAGGATCGATTGCTTTTTTGAGTTAGCAAAAAGCTATCGATATTTTTTTTTTTTTATTATACTTCACCTCCTCAAGGCTGAGAAGGCCACTACAGACGAGGAGGCTACTTATTTTGTGGCTATAACCCTCTCTCAACTCTATAACTCTGAAACACGAACCTTGACGAACAAGGCCGCTGCGCAGAGAAACGAGTTGAGCGCGGTACTACCAGGGACGTGGTGGGGATCGAACTCGGAACCACTCGTTTATGAAGCGAGCGCTCTACCACTACACCACTACCGCATTTGGAAAGATAAAGACAGACATTTGGTTAAGAGGACAGCCAGCTTAATAAGCTAAAGACCCACTGGCTTTTGTAGCTAGCGTCATATCGTAAAGTCGTTGTCTAAAAAAATTTGATTTGTAGCTATCAACCAGCTACAGATTTGTAGATATTTTGTAGCTAGCTACAAAGCTACGATATGTAGCTAGCGACACATTGCTACAAAATCACAATGTTTAAAGTTCAATTATACTCATAATTATAATAGACTCAACACTAAAAATCGATTTTTTAAAGATGTTAAAGACATTAGGAAATAATAAAATAGGAAATAAAAAATCGCTAGAAAATCACTATAAAGCTAGCTAGTCGCTAGCTTATTTCCCACCAGGAAATCATCTAGTGTAGTTTTATTGGTTGAATCTTGCTATCCTTTTTATTCCCTGGGACTGCATTATTTTGGCGGCCTTTTTTATGTGCCACAGCATAAAAAAGACTAAAAAAAATACCAAATGGTCCTCTTGACTATTTTGAAGCCCTCAACATTGTGAGTCTCGAGGATATAGCCCTTCTACTCTCCCCTCCTACCTCCTCAATCCAGCACTGGAAATAAGACAAGTATATAAATAAAAATTATATATACTCTTTGATAAATCGAAGAACATTTGTTTCCTAATTAAACAATAATAGTAAGTTGTTGCTTTATACAAAAAATGTCTCTTAATTTTATAAAAAAAGTTAAAAGAGCGATGTTTCAAAAATATTTGCTCTTATCGTATTTATTTTGCTTAAGGTTTTTTCGCGTCTTTTTTTAACTGTCTGTCATCGGTCCAGTTAATCTTATTGCGCTTTTTTGTTTGTTTTTGAAATGTTCTCAAAACAACTTAAAAATCTGCCCGGCTTTTCGCAACTAAATATTATTTCCGTGGTCAATTATCGAGTATGATCGCACCCGCTTCCCGACCAAGCCTGATCTACCATACGCATTTAGAAGAGTTGAAGTATTTAATGTATAAAAAACTTTTAGAAGATATAGACAAAGCTAGTAAAATATGTAGCTTTAAGAAACATAATTTTTTCCTATCATTATTATTATCAAATAATCCTGTCTCATGACAATACTTGTGATTTGGTGTCTATAATCATAAATTCTCCATGTGCAGGTGTCTAATCCATCATGGGTGTTTATATTAAACAACATAAAACTTTATATTACTCTACCAACATTAACAATTAGACAAGAATATAATTTACCCATATAAATTTAAAAGTTTATTTATTATACAAAACATTTAAAAATATTTATTATTGTTAAATACATACAAAATATCAAATTCATCAAACATAGTAAAAAAGACATGTTATAGTCTACTGATTATGTTTAAGTTAACAAAAAAATTTTTTTTTAAATTGATTTTCTTCAGATAAAAATCAAAATAAAAAAAAAATGATTTTACTACACAAATTCTATTTATGAATGATTATGACTTTTAATTTTATGATCGATCATGACTGTTTTCCTGATGACAATGTCTCTTTTATGATGACAATAACTGTTTTATGATGACAAGGACTGTTTTATCATGACGATGTCTGTTTTAATTTCAAAAATTATCAAGCGTAAACAATATACTAATTAACCATAGTCACTTTTTATTGTCAAATTTTTTAACATCATAGTTTAAAAAAATATCTCATTTCATGATAGCATTAAACTTTGGATTTATAAATGTAGTTTTCTGAGTGTAAAAACTTGTTTGATTATAAACAAAATAAATTTTATAACAACAACCATTATGTAAAACATAACCATTTTGTAAAACCTTTAAAGTCTATTGAAAATTATTACTTAATAAATCATAATAGGCTTAAGAACTTCGAAATCAAAAAGTAAATTTATTGATCTAAAAGTCATATGAAAGAAGTAATAATATCAAACAGAGATTAAAGATAAGGAGTATCTGATAGAGTGCATTAGGAAAGATGGTGGTTAGAGCTTGAAAATCATAGATAATTATATATAAGAATGTAAGATAGCAATAAAAAGGCAGAAGTAGAGGTGAAGGAAAACTTGGAATGAGTTAGAGATGACATTAAAAAGGTTAAATTAATAGATACAGTCAAATAATAGGTACAAAATTTAACTAGTTTATTCTATTACTAAAATATTATTCTAAAATATAAAACTCACGGATTTGGTTTAGTCCAAGTTGTTTTTCTAGTGTTATGATCAATATATAAATTTCTTCCCTGTATATTCTATAAAAACATATTAAATAAATTTAATTAAAATACTTATAAAACAACTTTTTCCCTTCTAAACTCTAAAAGTATTTATATATATAATATACTTTTAGTGCTCGATAAATTAAAATAAATTTTTATATATTTTTTATAAAACTACATATTTTACAACTATTCAACAAAGTTTCATGCTTAATGCAATCATCAGGTAAAATTTTTTTTTTTTTTTTTATAATTGATTTTCTTCAGATTAAAATAAAAAAAGAATAAATGATTTTACTACACAAATGCCAATTTATGAATGATCATGACTTTTAATTTTATGATCGATCATGACTGTTTTCCTGATGACAATGTCTCTTTTATGATGACAATAACTGTTTTATGATGACAAGGACTATTTTATCATGACGATGTCTGTTTTAATTTTAATTGTTTTAAGTATTAAGATGCTTTTTAATAATAATTTTTTTTTATCACTGATTACAACATCAGTTTCACGCTTTGGATGATGCAACATTTTATATATGATGATGATGTAACATTTTATATATATGATGATGTAACATTTTATACATGAGCCATAACTGTAAGTTGGTATTGGATTCAGGTAAAAATCTCTTTTAAGAAACATTTTTTTAAATGTTTTATCAACTTAATAGACATTAAAAAAAGCCCCAAAGCCTTTAAATAATTAAGTTTTGAAGTAATTAAGTTTGGATTAACCAGTGGATTTAAGGGAAGGCACAATTTTGTAAGTTCTAGCTCCGGCTAGAACTTACAAAATTGTGCCTTCCCTTATATCCACTGGTAACCTATGATCAACACTGATTTTCATGATATACCTTTTTTCTACTCATTTAGTAGACTTTATTAAAGTGATTTCAGAAAAAAAAAAAGTGGGTACTCATGGGGAAGTTACAAAGTCAGAACAATGAAGTCGGCACAAAATGCATTAAAAACGCAAAAAATAGAGATATTGTTGTACTTTAGTATTCATTATTTACTGCAATGCAAAAAAATGTATATATATATATGAAAGTATATCAAAATCATTGCTACAAATTAGCTTTAAATTAGGACTGAATTAAACTCAGGTTTTAAATAACCTTAGTTGCCCCCCCCCACCCTGTCTTTTTATTTTTTTAAATGCCTATTTTTGCCCAGAACATTCTTATCTTAAGAAGAACTTATTTCTCGATAACATTTTAAACTACTGTTTATTAAACATTTTAGCTTATGCAGTGTTTCTGTTATTATATCTGATGCATGAAGTATCTTTATGCACCAAGTATTGAACATACTCAAATAATAGCTGTGTTATTTATTTGTAAATGCTTATTAGACACAACACATTTTTGTTTCTATATCAGTTATCATCTTACAGTTTTATATTCTGACTTAAATTTAGTATCATTTTCCCCATTTTATTATTGTCATGTTTAAATTTAGATTACAGATTATATCAAGTGATAAGAGTAATATGGTTTGTCATTGCAAAACAAAAGTTTATTATGTAATTATGTAATACGTATTATGCATTAAAAAACATCATTTAATAAAAAATCAACATAAAGATGGAATCATTCAAGTATGCTTTAATACATTTTTTCGATTGATCAAGCTTATAAAAATTTTGCTTTGTTATTATATAATTTCGTTATTAAACATTCTATTGTACAAATGTATTATTTCAGTTTTTTCTTGAGCTGATAGTTCATAACATCTACCAGTTGCTGATTGCACTTTTAAAGATGAAATTTTGCATAGAACGTGCATTATTGGAACCCAGCAAATATCTTCTCTATGTGGCCAAGTAAAAGTGTTAGAGGAAATAGACTGCTTCATGAACTTTATAAGGATATCTTGATTTTCTTCAGATATTTCCACAATATTACCTAAAAACCATTTTCCATCATAAACACATGCTATATAAATTCCTGGTAAAAGAGATGCAAGTGGAATTGTATAGTTCTGTTGCATTGTTGAAATATTTACATTAGTAAACACATTGTCAAATGAAACCCGTCTCATTTGTAAAGTAGTTAATGATTGTGGTATAAAACAATGGTGGTTTCTTGTTCCTGGAATTGTTGAACAAGTAGCATAACGTTCTTCTAATTTAAATTTCATGCAATGTAATGTAACTGCATCATTTGAAATGTGTTGAAAATGTATTCCATCAAAATTTTTTCTACACCAATCATACATTTTTTTAGATGAATTGATAGGATCAACTAGTGATTGTAAACTTGCCCTTGCTACAAGTCTTTTGACAGTTCCCCCAACACCATCACACGCACTCTTTCAATGTGATGTAGCAAAAAAATGCCATTCTGCAGATACGTCATGATCTTGTTTATGGTGGCATAAGTTAGATAGGTTTTTATAATTTTTGTATTGTGAACTTGCACCATCACTGAAATAAATGCAGTGGTTAAAGTAGGCTATCAAGTCTTTTAAATGTTTTAATACTTCATGAATGAAACAATGTACTGAGTTTTTATTGTGTTGCAAATTATCTGAGATAATGCAAATACTTTTACATTTTATTTTGTTTTCTTCCATAAAGTAAATAACAAAAGGATGCAATGTTGCTTGTCTATTGTTCCAATGGAAACCTTGTACTGCATCTTGAATTAAAAAACTGTAATTCTCAGCAAAGTCTAATAATATTAAAATATGATTACTTGCTAATGTGATTTTTAGATGCTGCAAATATGCTGCTTGATTTTTGGCTATATAGTGATGGTCTCTTAACTGGTCTATTTGTTGACAAGCTTTTTCAATTAATCGTCCACTGGAAGAGTTACCGGAACTATATCATGTTTTTTGTTAGCTATTTGCCACTGATTAAAGTTGATTTCTTCAATGCTATGTTTATCAAACAAAGTAGTAAGATACTCTTTAAGTGTCATTATCTGGGCAGTTATCACAACAATGCAGCATGCAGTCTCGATTTGTTAAGTCACATACAACTAGTGTCAAGAGATTTTTATAGTCTGAAATATCTGGTATTTTTAATGCTAAAAGTTTGGCATTCTGGTGGTACTTACAAACGCATACTGAGTGGAGACCTGAAGCACCTCCAACAGGAATACACCACTTTGGTCTAAGTTCACAGAACTTCTTATATTAAAAACATCACAAGACACGTTTTTGAATTTATTTTGTATTTTATGCAAAAAAGAAAATGTTTGCTAATTCTTCTATAACATTAATTTTTAGACTAAACTTTTAGAATATTAATTTTTAGAGTAGTTACTTATAATTATTTTCTGAGGGACCTGTTGCTTATATTAGGTTAAAAAGAACAACATGACTTACCTTTCGTTCTTCCCAACCTGGGGGTAAATCTGTATTACTGCTGCAACTTGCCTCAGGCTGAAATTAAAAACATTTATATGTATATATGTATATATATATATATATATATATATATATATATATATATATATATATATATATATATATATATATATATATATATATATATATATATATATATATATATATATATATATATATATCTGAACAAAGCTAATCAGATAATAAAAATAAATTGACTCCAGAGCAAGTAAAACTAAATGATAAATATTAATGGCTCTGAGAATATCAAAGAAATACGCAAAAAGTTGTATATATATATATATATATATATATATATATATATATATATATATATATATATATATATATATATATATATATATATATGATGCTATCAACATAAAAAATTAAAAATTCTAAAAAATTAATAATTGATTTGTATTGATTATAAATTCTTTGTAACAATGAACTTACAAAATTTTTTTTCATATAGTAGATTAACAATTTATTATATATAGTAGACTTACATATTATTAGTAAGAAATTTTTGACAAACTTACAAGAGTTTCTTCTAGGCTGATATGTTTTCTAACATTAAAACGATTGCCTTGATTAGTGTACACAGAAGCAGAACTAACTGGATGTGAACTAAAAAAGAAAAATACTGCAAAATGCATTCATGAAAAACCTGAAAATAAAATGCTTCTAATCAGAATAGTGTTTGTATTAAACTTTTTGTTGTTGTCGGTATACAATGCAATGTTGGTATTTTTTTTTTTAAATGTCAACATTTGTGTTTAATAGTTTATTATGTTTTAAATAAAGATGGGCGACTTCTGATTATTATATATATTTAGTAATATAGCAAAAAGTAATATTGCTTGATTTAGTAATATTGCGAGCTTGATTTATTAAAGTAATATTGATTTATTAAAGTAATATTTAGTAATATTGCGAGCTTGATTTAGTAATATTGCGAGCTTGATTTATTAAACAGTGTTCATAATGATTATTATGGTACTGGCTTATCTGCTGTGAATATTTCATTCTATATAATGATTGGACTATATGATGGTACAGCTATAAAATACTTTAAAATCTTGCTAACATTATTCAAATTAACAAAACTCGCATATCTAGAATCTCAAATTTATTGATTGTCCCAAATCCTTTACTGTTGAAAAATGTATACATGCCAACAAATTATAGTGATGAGCATAATCTCCATAATTAAATTGATTTATATTAAAGTCTATTATAGCTGAGGCAGATGTTATCTACATTATTATTGTTGGCAACTTTTTTGTGTTGTTGTGAGGAAGGGCCTAGATTTTTTGATGAGTTTTCAAATCTACATTCAATCCGTTATAATCTGATAATATTTCAGTTCTGACAGATGTTATAACATCAGATCATAAACTAATAACGTTCTATCTTTCTTGCTTATTGGAAAACACAATCAAAATAAAAAATGACCTTATCCTAAATTGTCTAGTAGTACTCCTGTATTTGGCAGACTTGCAATGGTAAGTTATTAGCCCTTTATGAGAAAAATTTTGATAACTCATTACAATATATACATATACCATTTAATTTGTTTACTGATGACATAGTAGATACATATAAAATAGCTTTTTATATAGACAACCTGTTGTGGTTGATACTATAGGTGAATAAAAATAAGCAATTGCTTTTACTCAGCATTTTTTGAAGTAATTGTTCATTTTGAAGCAGTTTACTCTAAAAACGCAAAGTAATCACTCAGCTTTACCTGAATAAAAATTTTAGTAAAATTGCTCAAGTTTTAATTTACATAAGGCTGACCAATTACTAAGTAAAAGCAGTTGCTTTTTTTTATTTACCTGGCTTGATACAACCAAGGGAAGGTAACAAAATAAAATCTGAATTTAATAATCCTGGTTAAAATAATCTTGTCAAAGACAAACATGATATTGCTAGAGATGCATTTAAACTATGGATTTTACATGGGAAGAAACAAGGTAACATGGTAACAAGAAACACGGTCAATTTAAAAAAAAAATAAAAAATTTGCTACTTTTAAATTAGCTTTGTGATACTGTATAAGGCATAATGAGCAAACAAAAGCTGATGTGTGCAAAAAAAAAATGATAACATGGTACCAGTAACAAAAAAGCTGTAAACCACATTGCTAGTGTGGAAGGATTCATTCGAGACATTGATACAGCTAATAAGTAAAGAGCTAATACGTGGATAAAAAATACAAAGTACAAACCAGTGTACCATATATATATATATATATATATATATATATATATATATATATATATATATATATATATATATATATATATATATATATATATATATATATATATATATATATATATATATATATATACATATATATATATACATATATATATATATATATATATATATATATATATATATATATATATATATATATATATATATATATATATATATATATATATATATATAAAGCACTTTAAATGTATAACAATACAATACATAAAGCACAATGAATAACTCAATAAAAAAATATGAAGAACAAAGGCCACTGAGAAAATGAAGCTACCTAAACTAGGTAAATATTAACACTAATAATGAGGCAATAAAAAATCAAAAATCAGGAAAAGCAGTTGGTCTTGATTTTTTTTTTTTTTTTTTTTTTTAATGTGTGGTGGAAATAGGTTACATCTTCTAATTAGTATGTTTTCAATCTCTGAGGCATAGGTATTTACCATCCAAGTTCTGTTAATCTTCCATTATTCTTTTGATGAAGTGCAAAGTGGCCAATCTAACTGATGTGAACAATATATGGTGGTTGCAAATATAGCTGGGCTATATCGTAAATATTTGAAAATATTTTGTTCTAAAAAATAAATAAACCTCAAATAGGACTCAGAGAGAGGGTGAACAATAAAAATAAATAAACCTCAAAGAGGACTCAATGAGAGGTTGAACAATAAAAAAAAATTTACCTTAAATAGGATTCAGAGAGAGGGTGAACAATAAAAATAAATAAATTTAGATGATTATTAGTTTAAATTCAAACAAAAAATTAAAAAAAAATTAAACAAATATGAATGTTAAGAACAAGTTAATTATTTTAATTAAATGCACAAAGAAAGCTATTAACTACTACACATCTACACATAGTCATGTGTTCACATTGTTTATAGATATTAATAAACCATTTGATAACATTGATTACTGGCATCTGTTCTGCAACCTAGAAATAACTAAAAAACATTGTGAGTCTACTTTCTGGTACAGCAACCAAGCAATGAGTATCAGTTGGCAGAAAGCTTAATCTAATGCTTTTAGTAAAGGAAATTAGTGAGAAAAAAGGCGGCATTTTATCATTGAAACTGTTTGGGTTTTATTCATTAATAATTTAGTATTTAAAACAGCTACATTAACTTATCTTATAGCCTGCTGCTACAAGGAAGTGCTGCTACATTGACTGAGTTTGGTTGAGGCAGGCAGTACATCAAATATTAAAAAAAAGGTCAAAAAAAAAAAGTTTTCAAACTTTTTCAGATCTTTAAAATAATAATAATAAAACAACAAAAAAAAAAAAACATAAAAAATAAACGACATTTTATTGGAAAAATTAAAAACGACCAAGCGAAAGTATATATATATATATATATATATATTATATATATATATATATATATATATATATATATATATATATACGCCTAGTTTAGCACTTACGGGAACAGATTTTGCAGAAAAACGAACACTCACAGGGACATTAGGATTATCGGGGACAATTTTTTGTCTCTGTTAGCATGATTTTTTTGCAAAAAAATGTACCCGTAAGAAACTTTTATAGAGAACGAAAAGTACATACATCGACTGACAAATAACCTGACTCACAAGGGAGTGCTGCTACATCGACTGAGGGTTTGAATAGGCCAGGCATCAAGGTTAGGCTTAGGGTTAGGGTTACGGCAAGGTTTAAATTTAGTTATATTACTGTAATTAATCGTTTTTGTAAATAGATGAAGTTAAAAATGAAATATAATATTAAAAAAAAAAAAAAAAAAAAAATAACAAAATTAATATAAAAAATATATTTTTATAATAAAATAATAAATTTAAATATGTATAAATAAAAATAGAAATAAAATAAATATTAAAAAAAATATATAAGTATGATAAAAATAGTTTAAAAAAAGAAAAAAAGAAAGACTCTACAACTCTTTTTCTCAGTTCAAAACCAAAGTTAAAATTTTATTCTGAAACTTTTAATACATATTAAATCAGGAAAATAACACACTTTAAAACAACTCATAAATAGTAATAAAATGAATGATTATTTAATTACCTATCTCCTGGTCTATTCCATGTAGTTGTTCGATTGGCATGGTCAACATAAAAAGTTCTTCCATTTGCATCCTTAAAAAAACATATTTACTCAATGATCATTTCAAAAACATTAGAAAATTCCCTCTTAATACAAGTTGACTGTGACTGAACTGTATCAACTTTAACTGAAAAAAAGAATTCAACAAAATCTAGTCAAACATAAGTATCAAAAATCTTACCTGTCTTTCTTCCCAACCAGGAGGAAGAGGAGCAGACTCTAGGGTGGTGTTAAGTTCATAGTCAGATTCTATAAAACTTTCATCATTTATTCCATGTGGCACAACCTCACAACTAGACTGTAAAATTAAATTAAATTTAAAAATTAATTAGATGTTAATTCTTATGCATACATATTAACAGTATAAAAAATTTGTATATATATGTATATGTATGTATGTATATATATATATATATATATATATATATATATATATATATATATATATATATATATATATATCAGGGTTCCTACAGGGTTATTAATAAAAAACAGAACATTTTTTTTTAAAAAAAACAGGACTGTTAAGGCCTAAAAAACATATAACTATGAATAAATTCATTTTTAAATTAATTTAAAAATTTTTTTAAATTTGTTTAAATACAAATCTTAATGTTTTTTTCTTGATATTTTAAAAACTATCTTTTTAAATTAATAATCACAAAAATAAAGCAAAAATGTTGAAATATAATAAACAAATCTCCCAATAGAAGTTAGTCAAGCTCAAAAAATCTCACTTTAAAAGCTTAATTAATTTAGTTGATGATTGAGTTTTAGATTAAAACTTATAGAAAAATTCTAATTACAGTTTTAATATGTCTTTTTATTTTGGTCAGTTAAAAACAATTTTTTTTTTTTTTTAAATTTTAGGTGCTCTGAGTAGTCCTTACGGTCTTATCACAGGATTTTTCTTGGAAAAACAGGCTATCTTGTGACACAATTTAAAATATATTAAAAAAAAAAAGATAAATGAAAAAGTAAAAACGTTTTATAAACAGTAAAACTGTATATATATTTAAATGCATATATACATATATGTATATGAATATATATATATATATATATATATATATATATATATATACACACACACACACACACACACACACACACACACACACACACACACACACACATATATATATATGTATATATATATATATATATACACACACACACACACACACACACATATATATATATTTATGTATATATATATATATATATATATATATATATATATATATATACAAATATGATGCTTTATGTTGGACTGACCATGTCAAATTTCAAAAAGGGATTGTCACACAATTTTTAACAGTTTTTTTTTTTATTATTTCCATATCCAACTTTGCACTTAGTTTTCTTTTATGTTTCTGTCCCAATTATAGTTTTTGCAAATTGTCAAACTGCTCCATTACCCTCACTAATACATCTTGAATGCTTATCAAACAAGTAGAGACATGTCTCAACATCCGTTGACCTTGTAGCTCAGTAAATGATTCCACAGCAAAATATTCTTCAATTTTTTTTTCAGAAAATGTAAAAAAACTGTGCAAATCAATTGTTAATTGGTCCATATCAATATCCTCCGAAATCAACAATTTCAAACCTTCCAAAAAAAAATTGGAAATTTTTAAAATTACCAAGAAGGTCTTCCGCAGTACACCTTCCTACAAACAATACCCCCAAGTACAATGTTATTATTTGCTGAAAGTAGTTAGAATGATACATGGCATAAGTGCCATATTGTTTTTTTGTCTGCAATGTAAAAAAAAAAAACAACAAAAAAAACAAAAAAAAAAAGATGTTAAAACTTAAGTAATAGCTGATTTAATACCTATAACAAAATTAGTAAATTTTGTTTAAAAAACTTTTCATTTTCATTACCTCCTAAATCCATAAAATATATCATATTATATATATATATATATATATATATATATATATATATATATATATATATATATATATATATATATATATATATATATATATATATATATATATATATATATATATATATATATATATATATATGTATATATATATATATATATATATATATATATATATATATATATATATATATATATATATATATATATATGTAAATATATATATATATATATATATATATATATATAAATATATATATATATATATATATATATATGTATATATATATATATATATATATATATATATACATATATATATATATATATATATATATATATACATATATATATATATATATATATATATATATATATATATATATATATATATATATATATATATATATATATATATATATATACACATATACATATCTGTTTATTTATATAAAAATTGTTTACTAAATACAAAATTTGGATTTATACTTGATACAAGCATATGTTTGTAACGTTAATGTTACAATAATAAACACATAACAAGTAATTTATTGCGCTAAGAAAATATTCTTTAGAAGTAAAATTTTTTTTTTGCAAAAAAAATTTATTATCAAAATTTATTATCAAAATTTATTATTAAAAAATTTATTATCCAATAAATTAAATTTTTTTGACTTAGCGTTTTTTATTTTAGTTACAATGATAATTAAATATTCAAGACAAAAAAAAATACTTTTGCGAGAGCTGTAAATTACTCCCGTAAACCGTTTTTAGGGGAGTGTGGGCAAGAGGAAGAGCTAAAGCTCTCGCTTCCGGCTGAGGCCTGTATACATAGAAAAGTTCCGATTTTGAAGAAATTTAATGAAATTGGTGAATATCAATGAGAAAATCCTTTTCTATCACAGACAAGATTAAGAAAAGCTGTTGTTGCAACTTTTGTATAAGAATACTTATTTACACATACATATTTTTAAATGATGTTATCAATTAGAGTAGGTCAAATCTTTATCTTTGGTCATAGCAAAAACAAACCATCAGACTCAACAGGAGAAAAAAACTCTAATACAAAAAATCCAAATTAGTTATCGGTATGGATAGAAGAAGCTCATAAGCACCAAATGGTAATCTAGTAACAATATCACAATAAAAATTCTCTTCACTGCATCCATCCTAGGCATCTTCCAATCCATTAATGTTGTTGCTTTATTAGTCAGCAGTAAAATGGGATGAACAAAATATTTCAGAAAGTAAGTTAAGACTCAAAATAAGATATTAGAAAATTTGTTAATTATAAATTCAAATACTTTTTTAATAGTAGTAAGAAGACTGGGTGTGAGAAGAATGATTGTTAGTAATCTGAGTGATCAGAATTTTAAAAAATTGGAACTACAAAAGCTGTTTTCCGGAACAAAGAATGTTCTGTAGAACACTTTTGGAAAACTGTGACTATTGGAGAACACTTTTGGAAAACTGTGACTATTGGAGAACACTTTTGGAAAACTGTGACTATTAGAGAACACTTTTGGAGAATATGAGAGGAATGTCCACAAACCATAAAAGAGTTTATATCAAAATTGACTTAAGCAACAATTTGTGGATAATTTTATAGTCAATAATAGTCTTTTAATTTACTCAAACTTAACTAAAAAAGTTAAGACTCCAAGAGAAACATATTTGCTGCATTTAAAAATACTAATATTAGCATTTTAATGGAACAAGATATAAATAATATAAATATATTATTTATATTGTATAAACATTTTTAATAAAAGATGTACAAGTATTGAAACAAAATTTTAGTGTGAGTAAAAGAGTAAATTGTTAATGATAGAACATTAAAAAATTGGATAGACTATCTAATAATATCAGGATTCATTATCAATTAATCAATCATATATATTCTGAAAAATAACTTCATGCATATTTACAAATAGTAATTCTACTAATCTTATATAAACACCAAAAATATAGATCTTCATATATATAATTAGTAATAATTATAAGAATGATAATAATAAAAATAATATTTATAGAAATAAACATAAGAACTACAATAATAATAATAATAATAATAATAATAATAATAATAATAATAATAATAATAATAATAATAATAAAAAACAACAACAATAACAATTATAACAGTAATTATAATAACAATAATAATCAAAATAATAAGTCACTTGTTTTTATAAACACAATAGCTAAATATAATTTAGTTACAAACAGGTGACTGATAAAACATAACAACTAACAAGGACATGACACAGTTATTTAAATTGAAAATAATAAAATAGGAATAATAATAGTAAAGTTAAAAATAATAACGACTGTGGTAACGATAAATATTTAAAATTAAAAGAAATAATACTATAACAAAAACAACAAAAATATGATAAAAATTAAAGATAAAATAAAGAAAAACAAAAAAGCATTAAAAAAATGAGTTAAATATTTTCACATGCATACACAAACATACACATAAAGATATATACAAATACTTACCCACATGCATGGATACACACATATTTGCACATAAATACAAAACTATACGTACATACACCCACATACATATGAATAAACATATAGATATATATAGCTTTAAAAATAAACATTTAAAAAAAAAAGTCCAACCAAAATTTTAAAAAATACATATCGATGCAAACAATGAACTAAAACAAATAACAATATGAACTATACACTACAATGTCCAATGAACAATACACAAGAATACAAAAACAAAAAACAAATGTCCCTCAAAATTAATAAAATTTAATAATTATTATTTTTTGTTTCTTCAAAAATAGAGCAATTTCTATATTTTATATTAATTCTTTTTAATTACTTTCTATTTTCAAATGTTTTTTGCTTTTAACTTTGGTTTTTTGTCATATTTTTCTTTTCTTTTGTTAATTTGTTTGATTTGGTTTTCAATTTTTCCTTTGTTTTTAATTTTTTATTTCTTTCTTTTTCTTTTCTTTAGTCTCTTTATTTTTATTTTATTTATGTTTCTTATTTTATTCTTTTTTTTTTTTTTTTTTATATTTCTTTCTTGTTTTTTTTTAAATATATTTATAAAATCATAAAAAAGCGAAGATGTTTAAAAATTTTTTTTAAACATCTTCGCTTCCAACAAGGCTGCAAGCAACCACTAATTAGAGTTGGAAGTTACTGGAAGAGAAAAGATGAAGATTGTAGAGCAAGATAACGATTGACAGATGACTTAAAAGATTACAAACTATATGAATCAGGAAAGTAAGATGAAGGAGGCGAATTCCAAAGAACTGATATTCAAGGGAAAAAAAATAGACGAATAAGAGTTTTTGGAGCATATAGGAAAAGTTACAGAAAAAGGATGAGACTTATTTAAATGACAAGTAACACGAGAATAAATTTTAGTAGATAGCACAAGACACGCTAGCTCTTTAGAGCAGTGACCATTATAGTATTTGTAGAAAAGAGAAAGAGAAGCAACATTACGACAATGTGACAGAGGTTGAAGGTTGGCTGCAAGAGCAGGTCCTACTATGTTTACAATGTGCTTTTGCAAATTGGCTAAAAGAGAAAGGGCATCATAAGAAGATCCGCCCCAGATATGGCAACGGTATTCCATACCAGGCAGGATTTGAGATTTGTAGAGATAGAGAAGAAAATCTGGAGTAAGAAAGTGTCAAGCTCAATAAAGAGATGCAACTTTAGCAAATGGTAATTTTGCAATGGATTTGATATATGGTTTCCAAGAAAGATTAGAAATAAGAGGTAATCCTAGAAGATGAAGGGTAGATGACTCATCGAGTACATTACTGTTTATAAATATAGGAAGGTCTAAATTATTGCGATAACAATTGGCTGAAAAAAATTGAGTTTTATCTGAATTAAAGTTCACCAGCTACTGTGAGCCCCATGCTGTAGCAGAAGTGAAATATTTTTCAAGCTCAAATCCCCCCTCCAAACAATCAAAGAGAGTTGGCTTCTTATCATGACAAGAATAAATGGTAGTATCATCAGCAAACAATGCCACCTTAGATGTGAGAATATCTGGAAGATCATTAATGTAAATTAAAAAGAGTATGGGGCCAAGGATTGAACCTGGAGGAACCCCTGAGGTTACAGAATAAGAAGAAAAGTGCTGTCCATCAAGGACAACTTTTATACTACGATTGGAAAAGAAGAATTCAATAACCTTAAAGATGTTTCCAGATACAGGGTAAGAAGAAAGCTTATGGAGAAGACTGGCATGTTAAACTTTACAAAATGTTTTAGAAATGTCAAGAGTAAAGGCCTTAACCTCTCCACCTTTATCTAATGCACGATATAACCATATTATACACGATATTATACACGATATAACGATATAATTTTATTTTAATTAAGAATTTAACCACGCTATTTGTAAATAATTATTGAAAATTGTTTAAAGTATTTTAACATTTATTATTTATATTTTAGTAAATTTACGATTAGTAGTTATTAATGTTTTAAGTACTTAGTAATTATATGTTTAAATATTTAAAATAATTTTTAATCAATATTTACATTACATAATACGTTCACAAATCTTAAATCGCATAATATTTGTAAAATTAATAAAATAGTTTAATGTCTTGTATTCAATTAACTATTCAAATAAAAAACATAAACATTTAATAAACATATTTACTATTATTTTAATTTTAAAACTTTTATTAAATATTAGCAAATCTGTTCATTTAACTTTTACTAAAGGCTAATAATTTTTAAATTTTGATTTTAAGGTTATTAATGGGTTATTATAAGGTTATTATAAGGTTATTATAATTAGGTTATTATGGGTTATTATAATTAGGTTATTATGGGTATTAGGTTATTATGGGTTATTATAAGGTTTTAAATTAAAGATAATTAAAAAAGAGATAATTAAGGTAAACATAAATTATTAAAATGATATAGTTTTTTGTTAAAAAACATTTTATATTTTTAAAAATATATTATATTTTTAAAAATATATTATATTTTTAAAAATATATTATATTTTTAAAAATATATTATATTTATAAAAATATATTATGTTTTTAAAAATATATTATATTTTTAAAAATATATTATATTTTTAAAAATATATTATGTTTTTTATTCATTAATTTTAATTAATGAATAAAAAACATAATATATTTTTATTCAAATTAAGTTTAATAAATAAGTTACATTTACTATAATTATTTTTAAACATTAAAAACATTGAAGTTTACAAATAACTAGATCTTAATAAAACTTTCATTAAGTTATTGTAATAAAGTTATTTTTATTATTAGTCAAAAAGAATATGGAAAAGAAACAAAACTTTCTGAAAAAGTTTGTTTCATTTTTTCGTTTTCCTCAAGTTCATTATGTAAACTAAAATATAAAGCTAAAGAATAAAAGTTCAATCGCTCAAAAAACAAATGTGCAATAGTTTGCATGATAGACTGAAATTTTGGTATTTTAAAATTTTCGAAAAAGCTAACTTTTTATAGATTCCATTGTTATAAAATTTTGTTAAAAATTTTTAAAATAAAGTCAAAACTCATTTTTTTAAAACATTCAGTTAGTAATCAAAAGATAGTTACGTCACATAATCAGTTAATCAGACAGTTACGCCACATGTTACTTGAAAAAAGCAATTGCTTTTTAATTCATTTTATTGAAAATAAATATTTTTATATATTTTAAATTTTTATATATTTCAATATTTAAAAAATTTTAAATATTTTTTAAATATTGTAAATAAATATAACTGAAAATTATTTATATACTACTGCATTTTAAAGTGAAATATTTTTTTCTATTTTTAATAAAAGAGCAAAAGAAAAAATCAAATAAAAAATAAATTTTGGGCACCCATACCGCTCCATCAGCACTAAAACAGGTCTGGGTTCGTCCCTGCTGGTGAAGCATGCAACAACCAAACCGGGTTCTATTTAATGGTATTATTAGTACACATAGTAATTTAAAACATAAAAGTAAATGTGAGTTAAATTGTAATATTATGTATAAATTATTATAACAGTATTATTTATTAATACTGTTGCTGGATACTCAGTGCATAAAGATGCTGTCAGATTAAAATGATTTACGTCATGTCAAATGAATTATATTATGATATAAAAAAATTAAAAATAAAAAAAAAACAAAAAACAAAAAAAAACTATAAGATTTTAAAAAGTTATATTTTAAATTTTATTGCAAGAATACTAAAAATTTGCTTTTGAACTCTTTATCTTATTTTATTTTAGTTGATACATCAAAAAAAAAAAAAAAAAAAAAAAAAAAAAAAAAAAAAATCTAAGTCTAAAATGTTGAATTATCAGTTTGTTTTTTTTGCTTGAAATATATACGTTTTTTAACTGTTTTTTATGGTCTACTTTTCATACTTTTTTAATATGTTTTTAAATATAAAAAATACTTTTGAAAATAATTTAAAAATTGAAAAAAAAAATTGAAAAAAATCTATAATAATAAAAAAGCTAATTTTAAGGGAAAAAACATCTCTAACCTCATTTAAAATATCAACAGATGATGCACCAAGGCGACTGAGGTCATTGACAACACGCAAAATACCAACACCATCAGCTGCTTATAAATTTTGTAAAATGCTGTAAATTTTTTTGACAATTAAAAAAGAAAATAGTAAAAATAAGAATCTCACTGTCTTGATTTTCTGGTTTCTTTACAACAGCAATATACACCCTTATGTTTCCACGAACATGTGATTTTGCACTAAATAAAAAAATTAAAAAAAAATTGAATTAAAAAACATATAAAAGTTGCAGTAAAACTTTTTAACAGTTGAATCATGAAAAAAAATTTATCAAGGTTGCAGCAAGAAAAAAATTTATTGCACCTTCAGTTAAAAAATAACAATTTATCATGCTTGCACTTGAACAAAAATATTTATTACACCAATTACTTTCAAAAATGTTAATAAACTTATGTTAATATATGTCAAAACTATTTATACACATTAAACTTAATGATCATAAATGGTTTTAACATATCAAGTTAAAATTAAAAAAAAAAAAAAATAAAGCAACAACAACCTCCTCTGTTGCAATATATAATCTTTTGTAGCAACTCTTTCAATATCTTGCTCATTGCCTTCATTCTAAAAAATTTTTATTCTTTTTATTTGAAATATTTCTATTTATCAATAAAGCATAAAACCATCTTTATTTTTGAATATCAAACTAACGTTGCATGTAACCATAGAAAAGGTTTGTGGTATTATTCTATGGAATACTATAGTTGATATTTTTATAGAACATCATTTTGCTATGTTTGTTATGAAATATTATTGTGTTCTGATTGTTACAAAAGGTAAGTAATATGGTGTTATGCTAAAAATGTAACAATTATGATGTTAAACTTTTTTATTTAAGATTTTGATTTTAAAAATTCTCAGAAAAAAATAATTTAGTGTTATCATTTGCATGAAAAATATACTAATTTAGTGTTATCATTTGCATGAAAAATATACTAATTTAGTGTTATCATTTGCATGAAAAATATACTAATTTAGTGTTATCATTTGCATGAAAAATATACTAAATCAGTACTACCATCTGCATGAATAGAGAAGGTTTGAGGTTTTGCAAATTAAGTTTATAAATATCTAAAGAGTAAAAATAAAATAAAGTTTAGGTACAAGGAAACACATTTAAAAATAGTTGGAAAATGGAAATTTATTTTATATTTTCACTTTCAATATTATGAGACTTATATAAGTATAGCAAAAATATTATCTGTAGATAAATTATAAAACCTACTTGCAACTTTTATGAGTTGCAAGTAATTGCATAAATACAATTGAAGGTTTATTTAAGCAATAAAGTAGGGTTGTTTGGCCAGAGCAAAGGTAACTTACCTAAGTGAAAGAAAATTCTAATTAAAAAAAAACCAAATTAATTGTGTATTATATATATAAATACACTTTAATCTTTTTCAATAGATGTTTCTCTGAAAACAAACTAAATATAAATGTAAAATAAATTAATTAAATTTACAATTTTTAATTGATTTATATTTGAGAAAAATATTTTCTCAATTATTTCCTCAAATATTAATACAGAGTATTGATTAATATATATTTTTAGTGGAGTTACTAAGTGGAGGATAAGTAGAAGTCCTATGTTCTTTTTATTAAATGTTTTATGAATGGTGGATTCATATAGTTGAGTTGCAACTTAAGTTTCCTTTACGAAGTGAAAAAGTAATAGAAAGAGTTTTAAAGTGCATGTCGTCAAATCTTCTATTTGTTATATATTTCCATAAAAGCATAGCAACACTGATATTTTTACAACAATTTTATAGTAGGCTGAATTTTATTCAATTTAGAATTTATTGAATAAATAATAATAAAGTTTAAACAATTGTTGGTTGTACAAAAAAGAAAAATAATTCCTCTTTTTGACTAAACTTTACATGTAAAAAAATAGCAGCATCTTAACTGAAAGATATCTTAAGATATGTTTAATGCCATATAAACTATATTGAAATAATATATTTATAATATATTTTCTATAAAAAAGTGAACAAAATAAAAAAGAACTTTAGAAGTTCTAAGTTGACTAAAATTAAAATTAATTCAATAATTGCATAATTATTGAATTAATTTTAGAGAAGTGAAATCTCATAGCAAGAGAAGTAGATATCTTATATCAAAACAAAAGTTTGTTGGCTTGATAATATTTAGGAAGTAATATTAATGTTTAAGATAATATGGTAAGTTTATAATATTCAAATAAATCATTTGATATGTTAAAATTTTTTAGTTCTTTATTTTAAAAATATTTTATTTCTTACATTTTTCAATTATCATAAGGTAAATAATTGAAAAACTCTATGTTTGGAATCCTGAAATACAGTCTAATCCACACCAATCATTTCTATACGCCTTCCTTAGTTCAATAATATAAAGAAAGTGGTAGAAAAACAATTATATATATATATATATATATATATATATATATATATATATATATATATATATATATATATATATATATATACATTGCGCGACACAATGATAAGACATGCCAAAAATATTTATAAAACTCTACTATACATTTATACTTAAAAACTAATTTTTATTGTAAATGAAAGCAATGGGTTTACACTAGAGAGCTATTATACTCAGAGAGCGGACAAACGGAAAATACGGAAGAACGGCGGCTATGTTTTTGCCAAACTAGCATATGACATTCACGAATTCAAGTAAAAACAATTGAAAGAAAAAAAATAACAAATGAGCACAATAATATTTTAAATAAAAATATATTTAAAAAAAATTTAACCTTTTTATGATTTATTTTATTTTTCGACATATTATTTATTTATTTAGGAAATACCTTTAAAAAAAAAACAGCAAAAAAGTAGTTGTAATCAATAAGTAACTTGAAAAAAGCTTTACAATTTATTTTATAAATTAGTTGAACTTTGATACAAAGTTAGATTTTTAATTTGTTCATCAGAATTAATTTTCTCTAAAAGCATAGTATTACAATTCTTTTGGGAATTAAGGTATGGCTCAAATGATCTGAATATTAACTCTATTTGTAAAAAGAATGCAAATGTTGTTTCATAAACAAAAAATTAACTACCCACTTTGTGCTCTTTGTCTGTAACAAACTTTTTGTAATCAGCATTAACTCTATTTTTAGAAACTAGAGATTCAAAACAAATTGTGCAAACTTTTTCAACTTTTTTAACTCTAGAAATTATATAACCTGCAATATGAAACACATAATTTTGCTCAGCATTACTTAAGATTAAGTTAGAGGTTTTATCCCAATCTTTGGGTAACACAATGCACTCTCTTTGCTGTGGCTTATGCACCTAATTATTAACTATATCAAGAAAACCAGATAAGAATTGACGGTCACCTATATATAACTGCCTTTTGACAATTTTTTCAAGAATTAGGTAACGCAAATAAGTTTCAAGTTATTTTTAAATTGAAGAGCAGTAGGAATTACTTGTTTTGCATGTACCAGGGAGAAAAGATTCTCCAGGCAATCCTGTGTAAATCATGATGTCATTAGAAAATCAAACTTTTTTTCTAGAAGAAACTTATTTTGCAAGTTAATAACTGATGTTGTTGATATTAAAACACCAGATTGAATAGGTTTCCACCTTATTTTACCAATTTGGCTTTATAATTTTATACTATGGAATATCTCTATGACTTCATTTATTATCTTCAAGTTATTGTTTCATTGTAAACTTTGTTATTTTTCATACTAAGAGCCATACCTGGGTTTCGTGAAGTCATTAATGTAACCCATTTATCAACAATTCCTATAAACCAAGCAGTTGTGAGAATATAATCAACTTTTATTTCATTTGCAATAAATTTTAATCCACAACTTACATCATGATTCATTACAGATGTTGCTCTTGATACTTTCATTTTTTTATGAAAGTTTTTTTAAAATTGTTATATTTAATACAAATTTAGTAGTAGACTTTAATTGCAGTTAGTATTTTTGGCAAACAGATGGCATCTAAAATCATAAAATTCGAACAACCAATCAAAAACGATCACACATATGTCCGCTTTCTGAGTATATAGGCTCTCTAGTTTACACCACTAAACAATATTTTAACAAATTTATTTTTAATGTAACTTGCATTTTATAAAAAAAAAACATTTTTTCAGTGCGACAAAATTATAAGAAAATTTACAAAAAACGTTTTATTTAAAAACCGCAGTTGTGGGCAATTAAGAATATTTATTTGATGTAAACACCATAGACGATTATTAAACTGTAAACTTTTGTGAACTGTCAAAAATTTGGATAAGGATTTTTTTAATTAAGTATAAAATAACAAATTAATTAATAATAAGTTGCGCTGCACCATTGAGTCCAGATGAGAAAAAAGTGCTCTCTAATTTATCAAAAATGAGTCACTCTGTTAGTTAGATGACTAGAGCTATTGGACACAGCCGAACTGTGATTAAAAACTACGTTTATAGTCCTCATATGTATGGAATAAAAAAAAGTCCTGGAAGTCCATCAACATTAAGTGACCATGATAGACGAAGATTGTTGAGACAAGCTTCAAGTTTTTCATTAACTGCATGTCAAATTGCTGCAAAAGCAGGTGTGATTGGTAATTTACGTTCAGTTCAGTGAGTTATTTATAAAGTTTTTCAACTTTTGTGCATAAACTTCAGCGAAAACCACCTTTGACAACAAATAACATTAACTGTCAAATAACTTTTGAAAAGGACCACATAACACGGAAAGAGTGGTAACAAGTAGTATTTTCTGACGAAAAACGATTTTGTTTTTCATCAGAAAACGATGATGGGACAAATAGGTGGAATTATTATTTTGACAATTTGTATAAAGAACCAGAAACACATCAACAACATCAAATGGGTGGTGGTGGTATAATGATTTGGTGTGCGATTGGGTATCATGGTAAATCAAAAATTCATTTTATTGATGGTGAAATGAAGGCTAAGGATTATCTTATAATTGTTAAAGAATTTTAAAGACGTCAAGCATCTGTATTAAGTGGTGAAAATTTTGTTTTTCAGCAAGATAATGCTAGCGTTCATACAGCTAAGATAGTAAAGGAATATTTCAACAGCAGTAATTTGAAACATTGAAGTGGCCACCTACATCTCCAGATCTGAACATTATTGAGAATGCTTAGTCACAGCTGTCACATATAGTGTTTGAAGGTGGTAAACAATAAATGTGCTGATTAATTATAATCAGTATAAAAAGTTTAAAAAACAAACAAAAAGACTTTAAAATATATAGAATAATGGACTTACCATGAACCCTATAATACAATCATAGTATGTCTATTCCACACCATTTCCTAATATCGACACTTTTGACACATTTCTTAATAACAATTCTAATATTCAAAATAATTTCTTATTCTTTATATCGTCATTTTATTTCAATAAATTTTAGTAAGTTGTAAAAAATAAAAATTATTTGTTTTGAGTTAACGATTAATGTTCAATAATTTCTTATTGTGAATAACTAAACTGTAAACTTCTATTGAAAAAAATATTTTTAGAAGAATTTAAACTTAGAAACTTTATTAAAGGGATTCCAAGCCTCCAAGACATGTTGTGTTCATATTAAAGAGAATGATAAAAAAAATGTTTAAGCTAAATTTTTTTGATTAAAACAAAAGAATAAATAAACACACAAAAAAAAAAACATTTTTATTTTAGTCGAAGCTCCTCTTCTCTGTTTTGTTGTAGGCCTAAAAGTCAGCATAATATACGCCGCAATCAACAGACTTGATAATTTATTCAAGCGCGTTTTATTCCAAAGAGTTTTAGTACATGACATCATTGACTTTTTTGTTTGTTTACATATTCGATCTCTAATGCAAACAAAAAAAAATCAACAATGTCATGTACTGGAACTCTTAAGAATAAAAAATCTCAATCATGACTTGCAACAAATTCCTCCCAATGATTTTAGAAATTTTTAAATTTTTAAAAATTCTCTCTCTTTTGTTTGTTTTAGTATATACCTTTATATATGTTATGTATAATATATATGTTATGTATAATATATATGTTATATATAATATATATGTTATGTATAATATATATGTTATGTATAATATATATGTTATGTATAATATATATGTTATGTATAATATATATGTTATATATAATATATATGTTATGTATAATATATATGTTATGTATAATATATATGTTATGTATAATATATATGTTATGTATAATATATATGTTATGTATAATATATATGTTATGTATAATATATATGTTATGTATAATATATCAAAACAACTGTTTTTGTATTTTGAAAAATTTTAAAGATTTAAAACAAAACAAAACAAAAAAAATACGCAAGCGAATTTAAACTTATATGAACCCACGCTCTTACAATTATTAGGCAAAAAACTATAACTTTATAAAATGGCAAATAAATGCTATAAATTAAAATTAAGGAGATAAATTAAAATTAAGGAGATATTGCTGCAATGTAATTTTCAAGTAAAAGTAAAAACTGTAAAACTTGATCTTTTTAACATTATATAATTTGAAATTTACATAAAATGCTATTGCTATTATGGAGCTATGATGCTATTATGGAGCATTCAAAAATAGTAAAGAAAAAAATATCAATCGAATGTATAGTAAGCAGGTCGTTTAGAGAATAAGATCCAAGAGATAAATATGTGTAGCATACTTAAATATCATTTAACTGATACATTACAGTTTCAGGAGACTAACATATGATGATTATAATGATGATGATGATGATGATGATTATAATGATGATGATGATGATGATGATGATGATGATGATGATGATGATGATGATGATGATAACAACATTCTTAAACTTACAGGTAAATTGTTTAAAGGAATTTCAACTTCACCCAGGAAATCGTCACGTGTCTATAAAAACAATTTTATTTTAAATCAAACATTTTAGCATAAGCATAAAAGCAAACATAAAAAAATTATTAAATGTTTTTATAAACATATTTTTATTGACATTAAACTTACAATGCGATTCTCATCAAACAGCTCCAACAATAACTTGTGATTCAAAGTATTTACCTAGATAAAAATCAGAAAAAAAATTAAAAAAAAAAACAATATATTATAAATATTCGATATACAATATATTATAATAATATATTATAAATATACATATAATATACATATAAATATATATAAATATAAATATACATATATATAAATAAAAATATAAATATACATATAAATATAACAATATATATCATAAATATACAATATATTATAAATACTCGATCGAATATTTATTAGGCATTTCATTCAAAAAAAAGTTCAAATATTTTGTATTAGTTACCAACCATTAGTACTACTCAAAACAATTAAACTATTGCAAGTAGCAACTTTACTTTATTATAGGACCATAAATTGTTTTACAACCAGAATTTTATTAAAATTTTAACACATTCATGAATATTATTGATATTTAATGATCAACATTACTCAAAACATTAGACCAAAAAAAAATTTTTTAATTTAGACTGATATGATTTATATGTAATGTTAAAACTTATTGATAAATTTTATAAGAAAAATCAATGACAAAATGAATAATTTTTTTAAAAAGAATTAAAAAAGTTTTTTTCTATTGAAATGTTTATGAAATTTATTTCTATTAAAATAATTAACTTATGATGCAAAAAAGAAAAAAAAAGAACAAAATTTTTTTTTCGACAATCTAATTGTTTACATTTAATCTTTAAGTTAAGTCTTTTATTTAAAGTCTAAAACTATAAGTGAAGTGTAAAATTTTTTTGTTGTAGTCACTATTTCTTTTTTCTTTAACTGTATTTACTTCTCCCAGGTACATTAGTTTTAGCTAATTGGGTTAATGCATAAATATTACATCCTTTTTTAAAACAAATTTTTTTGACAAAAACAATTAAAACATTCAACAAATAGTTTAATGAGTATTTCCAAACATTGTCACCATATACATGCTTCTACTTTTTTAGCAGATGGTTTTTCCTATGATAGGCAAAGAAGGACAAAATTCTTTGGTACAACCTACACTTGACATTAGTTACTGAGCAATTGACATAATAGCCTATGCGAGCATCACTCAGCAAATATGGCAAATATAAGAAGAAAAAATATAATTTTCCTCATTTTTTGCGGAGAAACACCTGTCAACGTGCAAATTTTATTTTCTTCCTGACAAGATTCTTTAGCTTAATTGTTGCAACAAATCAGTTTAACTGAGGATATGTTCAGATTAATTGTTGTTGGAGAGTTTGTCAACTTCTTTATCTGTTCTATTTTTTTTTTTTAAGTTCATGATACCCATTTCGAATGTATTGAACTATCTTTAAATTTTGATTTTGCTAATTGTGCCCTTGACAAAATGTTTAAATCACAGAATGACTCCAATGCTTTCCAAACATGCACAGATAAGGTTTGTTTAGATAGCAAAATGACTTCATCCTCCAACCTTTCTCACTGTATTACAGCTTTAACATAACAATTAAAGAGAAATATTTTAAAAAAAAGCATTTTTTTAAAATCTTTTATAAAATTTAATATTGCAAATAAAGCATCCAACTTTTTTTTAAGTGTCAAACTATTTTTGTCTAATAACATAACATCAACTGGTTAAAGTTTTGAAGAAATGCTTTCATTATGATAGACTTTGACTACTGTAAAGTGATTTTTTGTTGATCTTTGTGCTTTTTTTTAATCATACGACGAACTTTATAATTTTTAAAATTAATATTTTAAAAGTATTAATATTTTAACAAAATGTACAAAAAAAGAAAAATATATACAAATACAAACTGGTATATACCCTGGTAACCTGTACTCTGGTGATAAATCAAAGATGAATAAAATTAATTTAAAATCAAATTTAGCTACTGTGCTATCCACGAGCAAGTTTGAATTCTTGCCTAAAGACTTATCTCTGGAGCAACAAAAAATAGTTTTATAATGAAGATATTATATTATTATTGTATTTTTAATATAATATTTTTTTAATATTATTATATTATTATTGTATTTTTAATATAATATTTTATTTTAATATAATAACTAGGCAATTTAAACCAATAAAAATTTAATAATTTAAACCAATAAAAATTAGACAATTTTAACTAGTAAAAATTAAAAAATTTTATTATGCAACAAAAAATGATAATCACTCATATCTAATGGATGGGAGAAAACTTAAAGAGACAAATTTAGGATAATAAGTGGAAGCTACAGTAACATTTATGAGTGGAAGCAACAATATGTTTGAACCAAAAGTAAATTTAACCTTGGGTCAAATCAAAATACCTTTTGTACAACTTACTTAATTTAGTATAATAAGTATTTGTCCAACCACATATCGAATTTGTTGCTCCAGATTGATCTTCAAACTTGAAAAAAGATATAATTTGGAAAAAATGCCAAAAAAAAAAAAAAAAAGATTATAAAGACTAAATCTTCCAATAAAATTCACACTTGCTGGTAATATTACCAGCTACAGCATTAAAATATTATAAAATAGTAGCAGTAAATAGTTAATTACAACACAGCCAAGAAAATAGCAAAATATCGCTCTGTTCATAAATAAATGTCTCAGCATTGTTTTTGTAGTTTTTCTTTCAAATTTAAATTGATTACCTCTTAAATACAAGGAAGAAGTCTTTAAAGCTGTTTATACCACAATCTTCTATGAATGCCAGTTGTTATTTTTGCCATATAACAAGCACCAAAACAACTTAATATGAATATTTCAATTCAATATGAATGTTTGACATGTAATTTCAATCTGCTTAAAGATGGGAATATGATGCAAAACTATTTAATGGAATCACCTCTGACATCTAGTGCTTCAAGTGTTGCAAAAGCCAAGTTTTTAATTTTATAGCATAATTTAAATGTTTAAGCTCAGAAAAAAAATATTGTCATGTTCTGTGGTCTGGTTTTAATCACAGTTTTTCATTCAATATTTTAATACTGCCTTTACTTTTAAAACTTATAATTAAAATCCATAAATCATATATTTGACCATTTAATTAATAAACCAATATTTTTTATTATTATTGATTTAATTAAAATCTTCTTTTCTAATAGATATAATTTCTAATAATTGTTTTAGTAGAAAACTGGCAAATACTTCTTTACTAAATATTTATAAAAAATTAATATCAAATATCTGGTATACAAAAAACACGTATATATATATATATATATATATATATATATATATATATATATATATATATATATATATATATATAGTATATATACAGTATATATATATGCACGATAAAACCTATCAGTTATTACTGTTACAAAATTAGCAGTAGAATGAGAACATAGAAACCCATATTGATGATCAGAAAGTAAGTTGTTAGATTCAAGATGGGAGATTAGGTGTTTGTTAATTAAAGACTCAAATACCTTACTCATGATAGTAAGAAGAAAAATGGAAAAGTAGTTAAACGAGTCGAAACGCTATCCAGAATTTTTGAAAATAAGAATAACAGATGACGCTTTCTAGCAAGCTGAAAAGTCCACACACCATACCTGAACAGGTATGGTGTCTGGACCACAAGCTGTAGAATAGTCTAAGCAGGAAATCACTTTAGATACAGAAGCCGTAGTAATACGAACATCAGGCAATGGATTAACCTATTTATCAGCTATATCAGGTAAAACAAAACTAGTGGAATCCTAAGATGATATTGGTGAAAAGGTCTTAGCAAACAATTGAGCTTTGTCTTTAGGTGAGTTGACAAAATCTTGACCATACAAGAGCAGTGGAATAACAGATTTGCCCTTATTATAGATACTGTTAAAGATTCTCCAAAAGTCATGATATCCTAATTTATGAGATGAAATACAAGATTTTGTAACCTAAGATTAGCGAGCTTTGGCGTTAGACAAAACCTTTCTACAATGGTTTCTAGCAATAGTGAACAGATGTCTACTATCTAGAGAATTGTTTTGCTGATACAAAAGTAATGGTTACTTTTGGAAATTGCAGCAGCATAATGGGATAAATTCCACGGAGAAGGGTAAATGTGGAGAAACTGAGCACTGACTAGGATCAGAAACAAAACAGAAGTTGGATATATACCCAATGATTCGAATTGTCTGAAAAGCGAGTTGGAAGGTTGTGGGCCTTAACGCCTTCAGAGTCACTGAAACTAGAGCCAAGCTATTCAGTGTGATAAGCATTAAAGTCACCAACAACAAAGTTGTTGGCTGATGGATAAAGAGAGAAGGCTTAGTCAATTTAATCAAGTAAATAACATCGAAAAGAGTGAAGAAAAAAAGATGAATGATATAGAACAAAGAGAAAGGCAATAGAGTGAAGTGGTGTTAAACGAAAGCACATAAAAGAATAGTCAGTGGATTCAAACCTAGTTTCCCGACAAATGGGTGAATTCTTAGGAATGTAAACATCCAAACCAAGCATGTGACTAATGGAGTCTTAATGAATTAAAAGAAGATAACCACCAACACTAAAATCACAAAATAATACAGCTGAACTCAAATTAGTCTCACAAAGACCAAGTAGGTCTGATGAATTTTGCAAGAGATCAGATTCAACAGAAGAAAAGTTACTTTGAAGGCCACGTATATTAGTGAATGATAGGTTTAAAGAACTTGGTGATGATGATGGTTTTTTGTGTTTTGTAGTTTTTAATTTTGTTAAAGAACTTGACTTAAGGCACAGATAGTACTCAGTCCAAGCAATTGTCTCCTTATTATTTAAAACCCTAAGCCGTAACAAAGGACTCCAAATGTGGCCTCAACAACGCATATCAAAAGTACAAACAGGGACACCATCTATGCGCAACATGGCACAGCTAGTACTCTGATATTTTACAGCTGTTGATGGAATCAGCCTCTCTAAGAATTTCCGCAGAGTTTAAGAAACCTAACTACAAGAGAGCCTTAAAACCATAAAACTGAGTTTTAGAGCTGTACCCTCATTAGGAGATAATAGAATGAGTTGCCTAGGCATAAAAATAGAGACACAAGCAAAAACCATGGATTGAGGATCCAGCATTAGACATCCTAAACTGGAAACAAATGTATTATAAATATACTTACACCAGCCTAATAGTTAGAGAAGGGGCGCTAGGCTGTTCAACAGATAGAATCTGTTTACTACTTAAGTCTTTGCTCAGGAGGCCTTCTACAAGACAGTAGCCGGATGCATTAAACGTCTGCCCAAGATGAGTATTTTTATCGAGACACCATCTCTAGCCTTTACTCAACCAAGGGCCCCAAGGCAGGGGGTGTTTTAAGTCAGAATTAGATTCCCCTAGCCTTTGCTTAAAAAAGCATACCCTACAAGGCAGCAGGACATGAAGCAGGTTGTACAAGGCGACATTTTACCAGTAGCAGGATAACCTGTCCTGAAAAAAGTCAGGTCAAGTTATATATATATATATATATATATATATATATATATATATATATATATATATATATATATATATATATATATATATATATATATATATATTCATACCACATATTCGAACAGATACCAGAATACAAGAAAATAAAAGATATGGTATATTCAGCCAAATATCCAGCTGAATATCTTATCTGATACACTTCTAGTATTAAATAACTTAGTACTTACTATTTTCTTTTTATTAATACTAAAAAGTAAAATAAACTATTATTAATTATCAAAAAACTTAATAATGACAACATAAAAAAAATATTTAATGATTTTTACCACAAAAACAAAAAAAAATTCCACCTTAGCAAAGGGCAGAATAAATAAACTTTATATATATTAACAGCCTATTGCTTATTCATCTTTTTTCAACTCTCCTTTAGGATTACTCTATGATCATACCTCTACCCCAACCAAAATTAAAAAACATGTCATTGATAGAAAACAATTTAAAAAAAGTTCAAAGAGGAAAAATTTGAGAAAAAGTGATAAAAATTAGGAAAAAAAAATTAAACAAAAGATTACTTACTCTCAAATAGAAACTACAATTCCATTGGGGATTTAATGTCTAAAAATAATATTAATTAAAAAAGTTTTTTAAAGATATCTAACTGTTAGTGATTTTGCTGGCAACAAGCATGTGATTTTAACATAAAAACTTGCCATATTTTAAAAATAAATAGCAAAATAAAAATAGTTGCTATATAAATTCTTTTAAACATCTAGTATTAAAAAAATAAATTAAAATAAAAAATAAAAAAAATAAAAAAAATAGACTCTTTTATAGAAAATAGACTAGACTATCTTATAGCAAACGGTTACAACACAAATCAACAAAAAATCATGCTTAAATTTAAAAAAAAAAGTTTTTTTTTTTTTGTATTGGTTGTTACTTTATTTTAATAATTGAAATTTTTTTTAAATAACTAAAATTTACTATGAATTTTTTTTATCTATTAAATTTCCATAAAAAAATGAAAATCCTTACGATGATAGGAAAAAGGCTCAAGCTTGACAGATGCATAGTGGACCTTGTATAGAAGAGAAAGAGCATCATTAGAAGAGCCAACACAAATATGACAACAGTATTCCATACAGGGCATAATTAGATTAGTAGAGAATGAAATCATGAGTATAAAAATGGTAAGCATGATAAAAAGAAGCAACCTCAGCAGATGTTTATTGTTGACTATTCTAAAATTTGTATTTTATTCAAAGTTCGAAGGCTTTAGATAAAATATAAAATTAATAAAATACTCCTGTCATTAACAGATGCCGTTAACATTAGAATACGATCGAAACAAATCCATTAGGATACGAATTTATTTTATTGCTGGCATTAAAAACTGCCATTTTACTTTTAACCAGCCAATAGCTTATCACAGGGTTTAACAGAGAGATGTGATTATGGTTTATACAATTTAAAAATATTATACTTTTTTCTTTTTAATAATGTAAATAATTTAAATTTGTTCATTTATTAAATAATCATTAGAAGTAATTAGTAACACTTTTTGTGTAACTTTAATAAAATGCTTCAAAAAATAGTTTTAAAATTATTTAAAATGCAATTAAAAATGTAACAAAAAATAATTTTTGCTTCAAGTTTTTAAAGTTTCTTTTTCTTATGGAATTGTTATTTTTCATTAGTTTTTTTTTTTTTTACATTTTTTACATTTTTTCGTAGTTTAAGTTTAGCTTAGCGTTTCGTTTTCAGTGCACTTCTAAATTCTTTAAATAATCAAAACACCTTAACAGTTATAGCCAAGTTGTCAACAAAAAAATGATTTGTGTGGTCAGCAGTAGCATTGGATTGCACACCATTTCTGTCCAAACCTGCTAACTATAGATTAAAGGGGTCATCCATAAGTTAAGTCATGCAATCTTCTACCGTTTTGACCTTCCCCCCCCCCATCCTCATCAAGAAATTGTAACACATTTTGGGGCAGGATGGGCAAAAATGCCCATCTTGCCCCAAAATATTTTTTGTACTTTTCTCAATCAGACTTCATCAATAAATTTCAATTTTTATTGTATAATATTTCAGCATTCAAAAAATATGACCATATAAGTGTGAACCCTCCTCAATTTGAGAGGGTTAAAAAAAAATTTTTTTTTTTAAACATCTTTGCTTCCAACAAGGCTGCAAGCAACCACTAATTAGTGTTGGAAGTTACTGGAAAAGAAAAGATGAAGATTGTAGAGCAAGATAACGATTGACAGACGACTTAAACAATTGCAAATAAAATGAATCAGGAAAGCAAGTTAAAGGATGCAAATTCCAAAGAACTGATGTTCGAGGAAAAAAACTAGACGAGTAAGAGTTTTTGGAACACTTAGGAACAGTAACAGAAAAAGGATGAGACTTAATTGAATGACGAGTAACACGAGAAGTAGATTTAAATAGAAGTAAATTTTAGTAGATGGCACAAGAGACGCTAGCTCTTTCAAGCAATGCCCATTATAGTATTTGTAGAAAAGAGAAAGAGAAGCAACATTACGACAATGTGACAGAGGTTGAAGGTTGACTGCAAGAGCAGGTCTGCCCCAGATATCGCAACAGTATTCCATACAAGGTTGGATTTGAGATTTGTAGAGATAGAGAATAGAATCCAGAGTGTGAAAGTGTTGAACTTGATAAAGAGAAGCAACTTTAGCAGATGCTAATTTTGCAACGGATTTGATATAAGGTTTGGTTGAGGTAATCCTAGAAGATGAAGGGTAGATGACTCATCGAGTACATTACTGTTTATAAATATAGGAAGGTCTAAATTATTGCAATAACAATTGGCTGAAAAAAATTGAGTTTTATCTGAATTAAAGTTCACCAGCCACTGTGAGCCCCAGGCTGTAGCAAAAGTGAGATCCTTTTCAAGCTCAAATCCCCCCTCCAAACAATCAAAGAGAGTTGGCTTCTTATCATGACAAGAATAAATGGTAGTATCATCAGCGAACAATGCCACCTTAGATGTGAGAATACCTGGAAGATCGTTAATGTAAATTAAAAAAAGTATAGGGCCAAGGATTGAACTTTGAGGAACCCCTGAGGTTACAGAATAAGAAGAAGAGTGCTGTCCATCAAATACAACTTTTATACTACAATTGGAAAGGAAGGATTCAATAATCTTAAAGATGTTTTCAGATACACCGTAAGAAGAAAGCTTATGGAGAAGACCAGCATGCCAAACTTTATCAAACTCTTTAGAAATGTCAAGAGCGATGGCCTTAACCTCTCCACCTTTATCTAATGCGCGATAAAACCTATTGGTTATTACTGATAGCAAATCAGCCTTAGAACGAGGATCGAAATCCATATTGATGATCAGAAAGTAGGTTATGAGATTCAAGATAAGAGATTAAGTGTTTGTTAATTAAAGATTCAAAAACCTTGCTTATGATAGAAAGTTAGACGAATCGGATCGCTCTCCAGAGTTTTTAAAAATAGGGATAACAGATGCTGCTTTCCAGCAGGCAAGAAAACAAGACTTTGATAAGCACTTGTTAAATAGTTTTGAAAAGATAGAAGACAGCTCGGGAGAACACTTCTGCAAGACTATAACGGGTATGTTGTCCGGGCCACAAGCTGTAGAAGAGCTTAAGCAGGATATCTCTTTAGATACAGAAGCTGGAGTGATAGGGATGTCGAGCAATGGATCAACCAGTTTGACGGCTATATTTATATGGTTATAATTTTTGAAAGCTGAGAGATTTCCTATTTCACAAAAATGTTTATGGTATATAAGGTATATATAATATTTATCTTTCAATCTTGTAACTTTTTTAAAAACAAAAAAAAAATTAAGCAAAAAAGACTTACAATTAAAAGTAAAGTTTTAAAAGCATTTTATAATATTATATAAACAGAAATTTTACATTAGTGTTATTAATTCACAAATATTATATTATTACATGTTTGTAAATTTCTATATTTTCATATATCAATTTCTTAAATCTGCAAGTAAAATAAATTGCTAAAAAACTCATTATACCCTTGCTTTTTTTTAATGGATGCTGTCAGCTCCATGTCAAAATAAACAAATGGATGTAGTATCCATTTAATAATGAATCTCTATAATGGATGTAGCATACATTTATATAATAAATCTCTATATAAAAATGAGCGTATTACTATTACGCTAATTTTTATATAGAGATTCATTATATAAATGTTATCAAGATCTAAATAAAATTTTACTGCATAAAATTTGTAAAATATTTTGAACAAATATGAGATAAAAATGTGATACCAAACTTAATAAAAATTTTGTTATCCTTTTAAAAATAAAACACACCTTTTTTTGAACATTAGTTTGCAACTTAGTCACCAGGTTGGCACGACGACGATCAAACAACTTTATAACACAATATGGATCACTATATAATGAATAAATGTTGAGAAAAAAAATATTTTTATATAAAAATTTAAGGAGAAAAAATTCAAAAACTACATCTTACTAAAATATAAATATATTAAATACTAGAAAATTCATGGACGACTGTGATGCCTATTTTTAGCAACCTCTTACACTTGTAAATGATAATTATTTTAAGAAGTGAAGTGAAGCCGGTGAAGGCAAATAAATCATATATATATTATGCATACATAATAAGTGCTTATAAGTGGAAAAGAATTGAAATTAAATTTTTGAATGACTTAAAACAAATGTTAAAAATAAAAAAGTTAAAAAACTTCGTTAAAGAATTTTTTTATAAACTATAATACTCTCAAGTCCCTAATAAAAGGGGGAGGGGGATATTTGTTAATATTTCCCACACACCCCAAGATTATTAAGAACCCCCCTACCCCTATTTATTAATTTTTAATTATTGTCAGCAAAAACTTAATATCTTGTAACTAAAAAAAAAATCAATGAAAATCTTAAAAACAAGAAAATGATTGTTTCAGTCATTGATAAAAACAAAAATTTTCAGTGTAAACAGGCTTTAAAAATCGCCAACCTGGTAAATCTTGATTCAGCATATTATGCTGAAACAGCTGTTCGAAAATGTGCATTTGAATGCAAGCTACACTAGAATTAAATACTTTTAAGCATATTTTGTAAAAATATTAGTTCAGATTTATAAACTAAATTTTTTTATAAAAAATACTTAAATTGCATCATAAAAAAATTCCCCCCTCCCCTTATTAGATCTAGACTAAATCCCCCCTCATTGTATTAAGGATTCAAGAGTAAAGGCATTAACAATAACGCTTTTCTTTAAAGCGAGACATGTTACGCATATTTATGTTATTTATTAACTGAATTACTTAACTATTTATTAACCACTGTGTCTTTTATTAAACTAATATTTATTATTATTATTATTTTAGCATCAATTAATTAATTAATAAAAAATATTCCAAAAAAAAAAAAAAAAAATAGACTCCAGTAGGAATTGAACCCGGAGCGCAGGCACCACAATCAAATGTATTAACCACTACACCACACAATACTGTAACTCACTAAGTTAATAAAGTTTAAATAAAATGAATTTGTTTTGATGCATGATATTTTTAAAGTAAATTTCGCATTAAAATAAAATAACTTCCACATGAATATGTAAGTGTTACGCCAGCATAACACTATCAGGGAATCAGGAAGTCAGTGATCTGGGTAAATATATACAAGATAATAAAATTTAAAAAAATATAAATTGTTGTTTAAAAAGTCATCAATAAAAACTTCTGATTTTTGTTTTTTTTAAAAAAATATTAAGACTTAAAAAAGCCATTAGATAGACTGTTGGTTTCTGTTTTATATAACAAAAATTTATTTAAAAAAAGTTTTTTGATGACAAAAAAAAAATTATTATTATAATAAATTAATTATTACCTCAACCCAAAAATGTCTTTTTTAGCAAGATTAGTGCCTTTAAGGATTTTGACTCTCAAAATAGAAATATTTTCACCAATGAAGTTCTAAATTAAAAAATTAAAAATAAAAACAGAAATTAGAAAATTTTATAAAAACATATTTTATTTTCGGTTGTAAAATATATTCTTCAGTCCTTCTATGAATTAAAAAAATATGAACTACTATAAATAATGGAACAAATAAAACTGCATAAAATAAAAATAAAATGAAAAATTTTAAACTTCAAAACTAGCAACTATGATTAATTTTCAAAACTTTTTTCAACGTTTAAAAACTTTTTTTAAAACTAAAGAAAGTTTCAAAATGTATTAAAACTTCAGAAGATCATACTGTGAGATGCTGTTGAAACTCGTCGCAGTGTGTTACTCTTTGCATCCAGTTCTTTTCAAAACTGGGTTCTGTTATTCCAACTTTAAGTTTTCAAACCTAGAGCATTAAATTGTTTTAAATCAAAAAAACTGAATGAATGGCAAATGGATTACATCCTGGGCAACTGAACATGATCAAGAATGAAATGGTATGTTTGATTGGTCACACTTAAAATATTTTGCAATTAAATAACATCAAGAAGAACATTTAGAGAGAGAAACACTTGAAATAAATAACACCTCAACATGCCAACAAAAAAAAAATGCTTGAATACTTTTCAACTGTGATAATGGTATTAAAATACCACAAACAGTTGGAAAAGAGTTTTTTAAAATTAAAAAAATGATAGTAATAATAATTGCTATCTTTATATTTGCATTCATACATTTCGTTTATGGATTTATTTTAATGCTTATGACATTTTCATGTAATATCTATAATGGTTTTTTGTAATTATGTTTTATATCTGATGGTTATTTGTCGCACACACAACCACACAGAAAAAGTGTTTTGCTAATCATTTCTTGGTCAAAGCATTCCTTTAAAAATAAAAAGTATTCAAAAGATACATTGCTGTCAAAATAAATAGGGGAATTATAATATAAAAAATATTGATGATTTCATTAAATTGATCCATTCTTAAAACAGCACCGTGTCAAATATTCAAATAATGTATATAATGTTTTTATGCAAACCAAGAATGTTTATCAAACAATATTACAAAAGTTAAGACATCACTTCCTGCAATTTAACTTTTAATAATTTAACTGTAATTTAAATTTTAAATGTTCAAAAAGTTTTTTGCGAATCAAATGACACTGGGCATCTTAAAGAGACGTAAAGTTATGCTAGAGTTTTTATTATAAGTAGTTTATGTAATTTAAAGACAATTTATCAAAGAATGTTTTCTTAATTCAATTGCTCTCTATAAAAAGTGGTGAATTAGGCAATTGCAAACTGTGATAGTTCAAGGGCATTTAGTGATCTTGAAACAGTCTTCATCAGGAAGACGTGTGATTGTATGCCATTATACAACCACGCAAATAATATTTTGTTTTGACTAATTGACTAAGACTTTTAACATTTTGAAAATACACTGAATAAAAAAGATTTTGAATTACATACTAGAATAACAGAATACATAATAGAATAACAGAAAAACTTTTATCTTTACTAACTTTTTTATATTAAAAACACTTTTAAATAAAGTAAAAAGTACTGATGATTTTTTTTTAAGTATCTAAATTACAAATATTTTTTTGTGTTAAAAAGCAATGGTTTTTTTAGACAACAATAGTCTCTTTAACAAACTTTATGCAAGAAATATTAAGTTCCAACTATTAGAATGTAAAAGAGTTATGTTAAACTCCATAACGTTAAAATTTGTAAACAGTAATTTTCCATTAATGGTCGTTACCTTATTTTAAAGGACGTTAAACTCTGTTAACAGTCGTTAACTAAAAAAGTCAACTTACTGAAATTAATCAGCTAGAAACACTAGATTTGAATAATTTTTTTCTTTTAATAAAAAAACTTATTCAAATCTAAATTATACATTTTAAGCTTGAGTTATAAGTTTAAAAAATGTTTTAAATTTTTCACTAAAGCTGTAAAAAAATATTTTTATAAATTCATATTAATATATTTATAGTATATCTTTTGAATAAAGTATTAAAAAAAAATTTCCCTTATATAAATTTTTGCTAAAAATTTTATATAAATTGATAAATTTTATAAAACCTTTAGTTTGATAATCGAACTGTATATTTTCGAAATTTTTTTTGCTCCTCTTGAAGGAGCAAAAAAAATTTCAAATTCAAATGAAAATCCATTAAATGAAACTTTTTTTTAAACAACCTAAACAAATTTTTTTATATAAAACTAATGAAATTAACGGAAATTAACGAAAAAAATATCAGTCTGTTAAAAAATTTTAACAGAAATTTTTCGCTTTTACCGTCTGGATTTACCAAATGGAAAAATCATATGCCCATGCTTAGTTTTTTTCAAAAGGCTCATAACATAAATATTTTATTTTTGGCATTTTGTAATTGCTTTAATGTTAACATTAAAGCAATTGTTAACATTAGCAATAAAGCTAAGTATTGCTTTAATGTAACAAGCAATAATGTTAACATTAAAGCAATAACAATTAATTAACATATTTTTTGTTTTATTTTTTAGTTACCATTTAAATACTAATAAAAACTTAGTAACACTTTCTTCAACTTTTTTTTCTTTTTGATTAGAATAATGTAAAGGAAAACAATTTAGTAAAAACTTGAGATAAATTCTTTGATAAAATAAGAATTTAATGTAACAATTAAAGATAAATCATTTGATTACAGTATTAAGTTGTTAGTTACATGATATAATTTTATGACCATTATTAGATATAATGAATATTTGATTAATCAAGTCATAATAAGAAAATAGTTATACTAATATGTAAAATATTTTAAAAAATCACAACATCCTCTTTTTTCCTGTGTTAATGAATTTGAAAAATAAGTGATTTTTGGATCACTTCAAAATAATTAATTCTTCTTGATATTTTTATATACTAGACTATAAACAAAAAAGCATTTCCCTTACCAATTGTTTTTTTATTTTTTAATGATTTTTTATAAATCAAAAGTTAGACGAATAGAGCTCGATGCTGATATTATTCCTAATATTTAAAATAAGTAATTGATAACTTATAACTTTGTAGATTGATGATGGAAATTATAAATCTGAATATTCAAAATGCACAGACATAATCATTACAAATGAGAATGATTATTTATAGCATGTTTTTATTCTAACAGGTAACCTTCCATTTCCATAAGAAAAATAGGAGATTTTATACGTAATAACTTTATTGATATTTCTTAACCTAGTACTAAAGTTATAATAGACAAATGGCTCATAACTAGCAAATTGCTCGGTGTACTAGTGATCTTGTGTATTTGAATTCCAAACAGCATAGTGGGTTTTCAATCATAACCATCTTTAACTGACTTCTACCCACCCAACTTAGACATATTCAGTGGTGACCTCATAGAGTATATTAAAATAAAAACGTAAACAAAAAGAAAAAGTTTTTAATTATTTAACCAATATTAATAATCTAATATACTAACCAATATTAATAATCTAATATACTAAGTTGTGGTTAATTGATAAAAATGAAATACAGGTATCCTTTGATATGGTAAACTTATACCCATTAATACCATTAAAAGAAGCAACTTTAATAATTTTGGATCAATTAAATAAAAGCGTTTCTTACAAAAACTCAACTAAACATACTTTAACTGAAACAAAACAACTAATTGAACTTTGTTTGTTTCGTTGTTATTTCTTGTGAAATGGTGAGATTCATCAGTTGGAGAATTCAGGCCTAATTGGATTGTCTTTTATGGTTGTTTTGGCTGAATCTTTTTTACAATACAATGAGGAAAAGGCAATAAAAATGGCAACAACAATGATTCCTTTAATTGATAATTGAAATTATTTTAAAATTATCGTTACATATTTATGAAATTCTTTCATAAATTTGTAACGATAGCCATACTAGGTTTGATAAAATATAGCCGGGGTTGGGGCCAGGTTTGTGAACAGGGCTGCATAAACATTTATACATCCTAAAGTATATTTTTTAATTTAAAATTCATGTTATATTTTGTATATATATGCATATATAAACATCATTATGATCAACATGATCATCATAATCATCATAATCATCATATTCATCATTATTATCATCATCATTAACAGCATAAAAACGGAAAGCTTGACGATGATGATGACAATTATGATGAGGATGATCATCATCATTATCATCTTTATTATCAACATCATCATTATCATCATCATTATCATCATCATCATCATCATCATCATCATCATCATCATCATCATCATCATCATCATTATCATCATCATAAGGCTTTAACCTTTCTCCCATAGTTGAACATGGAAATTATTCTGGCTTCCAATACTAAAATTAATTTTCAATTAAACACTTTGACAGTTAAAACTTCAGACAAGATTTCCATCATAGTCTTAAAAAGTGTTATTCATCATAGTTTTAAAAAGTCTCTTCAATTTTCACAGGCTTGGTCGGGAAGCGGGAGCGATCGCTCTCGAATACTGACCACGGAAATTATATTTAGTTGCGTAAAACTGGCCAGGTTTTTTAATCGTTTTGAGAACATTTAAGTTTATGTACGAAACAAAAATTTTTGTTTTACGGACATACATGGAAACATAAAAAACTTGAATGTTCTTAAAACATCTTTGTGCGAAAGAATAAAAAGTATATCTGCGAACACTAAAAACCGGACAAATTAACGAACAAACTAATTCTATTGGTTCAAAAAATACGCTGATTAAGCGAAGTAAAGTTCTAGAGTGTTTTGTTAAAATGTTTCAGAAATTGTATTATACACGATTTGTTACGTTTTGAGATTTCTAGCATTGTTTTAAGAATATATATTATTTGTTTACGAAAATAAATGTTTTAAATATATATTGATTAAACAGTTAAAATTTTAAAAGTTTATTATAAATCATAGATTTTATTAGTATATTCTTATTTTAAAAGAGATTGTATTCTTTATGTAAATGTAATTTTGTGTATTTGTTTTTTATCGTAATGTATCTTTTAAAGCAATTTTTATGATTT